CCATGCTCCGGAGACGAAGCAGGGAGGGGTGACCAAGGCGGTGGTGCCAGAGGAGAGTCTCGTGAGACAGGAGGCGACACGAACAGGGGGCAGACTCAGGACCAGACCTGGACGCTGCAGCAAACACCTGACCCGACGCAGCTACCTGACCAGACGCAGGGACCAGAGGAGACGCAGTGGTCAGTGTGTACAGGCTCGACCCCGGCCGACGTGTAAACGTGGCCAGGTGTCGGCCTGTCCGAGCGTCCGTGCAGTGGGTCACCCGCTGACTCGCAGGAGTGAACTGGTGAACCCCCGCATCCTGTAGGTCAGCACCACTCACCAAGTTCGTAGAGAACGAGGGGAGGTAAAGACCAGACAGGGTGCCAGAGGGGGCCGCCGGACACGGGAGGACAGTGGAGAAGTGAGCAAGGACAGGACCCCCAGAGGGGTCTGCCAGAGAGACCGCAACTGGCCGGCCAAGCGGCGTGAGTGTGGTGCGGTCTCGAAAGAAGGAGCGAGAAGCCCCCGAGTCAAGGGTAAAGGTGTGGGAGGCCGAAGCCGACGCAGAACCTGAGAGAGCAGACTCACCAGTACCTGAGGGAGCAGACGCACCTAGAGCAGCAGCCTCGCTAGCACCTAGAGCAGCAGCCTCACCAGGACCTAGAGCAGCAGTCTCAATGCCCGGGTCGGGCGGAAAACACCGGTAACAGTCACCCTCATCACTAATAGTCACAGTATACATGGCAGCAAGAATAGCATCAAAGTCAAGGTCAAAGACAGCTACACCCGCCCTAGACAGCTCACCCCAGCGGGGGATCTCAGTGGCCTCAGGGAACTGGTGACGCCAAGCGTCCGTCAGGCGGCCAAAGCAGCGCTGGGTGGAGTGCGCACCCCCGCACTGCTCACCCGCGCGGTCGCCGGTGCGCAGGACGTAGGTGCACGGACCAGTACCCCCACCCCTCTGGCGTGCAGTGTACCACTCACGGAGCTGCTGAGGGGAGGGGACGTCACGAGTGCGCTGCTGCTGCTGCTGCTGCTGCTGCTGCTGCTGGCGCTGACCACCACCGGAGCTGACCCTCTGCGCAGCGCCACCCCGACCAGCTCCACCTCCTCCGCCGCCTCCTCCACCGCCGCCACCTCCGCTCCCTCCGCCACCGCCGCTGCCGCCTGCGCCTCCACTGCAGCCACCTACACCTCCACCCCCGCCACCACCCCCACCGCCACCCCCACCTCCTCCACCGCCTCCACCGCCGCCTCCACCGCCCCCGCTAGCTCCTCCAGCGCCCCTGCCCCCCTTGCCCTTGCCAGGGCGGCGTCTCCCGCTAGGGGTAGACGCTGCCCCAACCGACTCCAAACCAGCGAGGTCGGCCGCAGCAGCAGAGGCAACATAGGGCAAAAGAGGGGAGGGGGAACACCCCTCAAAGATGGGGGTGCGAGGGTCACCACGAGAGGCTCCTACAGCGACTATGCTCTTTTCTGCTGCTAGGAGGGCCTTCTCGAGGAGGTCAACGGTGAGAGTGGTGGGACAGACCGAGAGGAAGTGGTCCCTGACTACGCGAAGGGAGTCAGGGAGACGGGTGACTATGTAGTAGAGGGTGATGTACATGGGGGGGGGGTTCTTGGCGCAGAACTCAGCAGGAAGCGCAGCGCGGTAGCGAGTGTCACTAGTGCGGAGGTGCGTAATGAGGTCAGCAACTGTGGGAAAGGCATCAAGGTCAGGGAAGAGGTACGGTAGCATGAGGCGGCTCAGTGCAGCAGTGGCAGGGGAGGAGTAGCGTGCAACTACAGCGTCGTACAAGGTCTGAGCACTCTTGTACTGGCTAAAGTGCGCACGCTCAGAGGTAGGTAGGTGGCGACGCACAGCAAGACGCGCAGCAGCATCGCGCGTGGCCCACTGTGAGCGAACAGTGGCGTCAGCATCAGCAGCGGGGGCAGGAGAGGCACCAGAAGTGAGGTCAAAGAGGGAGAGGCCGTCTGCTCTGTCGCACTGTAAGAAAAGCTGCAGGTCATCTATCCAGACGTCAAAGTCAATGGCCCGACCCTCAGCGTCAAAAGCGGGGACACTAAGGGTAGCCATGACAGCAGTAGACTAGCAGTGCAAACAGTAGGGTGAGGGCAGTGCTGTGAGAGAGGCGCTGCTCTTACCAGACAGGGCGGTTCGGGCGGCTCGGCTGCAGGGCGGCTCGGCGACTCGACGGCTGGGCGGCTCGGCTGCTGGGCGGCTCGGCGGCTGGGCGGCTCGGCGGCGGGGCGGCTCGGCTGCTGGGCGGCTCGGCTGCTGGGTGTATCGGCGGCAGGGCGGCTCGGCTGCTGGGCGGCTCGGCTGCTGGGCGGTCGGCGGCTGGGCGGCTCGGCTGCTGGGCGGCTCGGCGGCTGGGCGGCTCGGTTGCTGGGCGGCTCGGCGGCTCAGCGGCTGGGCTGCTCGGTTGCTGGGTGGCTCGGCGGGTGGGCTGCTCGTAGGAGTAGGCGCGGGGGCCGTAGGAGCAGGCGCCGGGGCCGTAGGAGCAGGGGCCGGAGGCCGCTAGGGCGGCGGATCGGGGCCGCGAAGGCGGCGGACCGGGGCCGCGAGGGCGGCGGAGTAGGGGCCGCGAGCGCGGCGGAGAAGGGGCCGCGAGGGCGGCGGATCGGGGCCGCGAGGGCGGCGAATCGGGGCCGCGAGGGCGGCGGAGTAGGGGCCGCGAGGGCGGCGGATCGGGGCCGCGAAGGGCGGCGGATCGGGGCCGCGAGGGCGGCTGAGCGGGGCCGCGAGGGCGGCGGATCGGGGCCGCGAAGGGCGGCGGATCGGGGCCGCGAGGGCGGCGGATAGGGGCCGCGAGCGCGGCGGAGAAGGGGCCGCGAGGGCGGCGGATCGGGGCCGCGAAGGGCGGCGGATCGGGGCCGCGAGGGCGGCGGATCGGGGCCGCGAGGGCGGTGGAGTAGGGGCCGCGAAGGGCGGCGCGAGAGAGGGGAGCGCGACTCGGGCAAGGGCTGGGTGCGCTCCGGTCAGGAAAAAAAACGGTGGGCCCTAGGAACAGTTCCCACGGGGGAACCTGCTCGATACCATGAGAAGAAACAAGGAATGAATGGACTATGAATGAATTGAGTACAAGTAATAACCCTAATTGGGTTGTACCCCTTATGGGCTACCCCACTATAGCCTACACAATATGCATGAGCTATAATGTTCTGACAAAGTATAGAGCGACACTGTCGCCATTCTGGTCCAAGACCCGCAAGTAGCACCGTGTGGAACATAGCGTCGGGGAAGTACCCTCCACACTTCTGAAGTTGATCGCGCAGATTTCGAGCGCGGTTAATATACTGCGTCACCTTCTCGCCGTTTATCATCTGTATATTTGACAGCTGCGTCAAAATTTTACTCTGGTTGACAGTATCTTTTGCCATGTGAACCCCTTGCAGGTATAACCAAGCTGCTTCAGCGGGAGCGACACTGTTACGAAAAGAACGAATTCCGAGCTGTTCAGTCGGAGTCAGATTACGAACGAGAACTGTGTATGCAGTCAGCGACGCCGATCGAAAAGTGGCTTGTTGAAGTGGTGACCCGTGTGATGGAAATGGTGCTGTGCCATCATACAGCTGCCAGAACCCCGCGGTCTGAACAAGAAGCTCAAACTCAAAGCTCCAGGTATAAAAATCTTGACCGTTAAAAGGCATTGTCGTTTTGATTTTTGTAGGATTTGCAGAAGCAGGAATATAACTTCCGGTACCGTCAGCTGATTGTAGCTGATAGAGTGATGGCGCTTGTGACCCTTGTTGTGTTTGTTGTCCTTGTCCAGCAGGACCAAAGGAGAAAGAGTTGTTCGACCCATCACTTCCTTGTGGCATCTGACCACGCTGATAACTGGAGCCATCAATGCTCATCGGAGTTGGAAACATCTGGTTAAGCGACAAGACGGCAGCATTAACACGTTGTTGAAGATTTGCTGGTTGGTAAGCACCTTGATATTGGTAAGGTCCAGTCGGAACGAAGTTAGACTGTTGTCCCGGTTGACTTGAAGAACCAGGGACTGCAGCTGCGGCTGTTGAGGCTGCTGATGCTGCTGTCGCGGCGGCTGCTGTCGATGATGCCGCTGCTGTAGTTGTGTGTACGGGCTGACTGCTCAATGGCATGCCGTACATCGGTTGTTGCTGATATTGTTGTTGTTGTTGTTGTTGTTGCTGCAGATGTGAATTATCAGCAGCTGGAGACGCAGTTGGGCGTGATGGGCTCGTAACAGAAGAGCCATTGTTGGACCTTGGAGATCCAGACATAGTTGTAGAATAGGCAGATGGAAGCTGTTTTAATCCTAAGTTGCTCTCATACCATGTTAGAATTTGAACTGTTTGAATAGGATCGTAGTCTTAGGATAGTAGCTTCCTGTAGCAGTGGAAGTCTTTATATGAGTGACTTGTAACAGAATCAAAGGTCTCTGAAATCAAGTATATTATAAAATGACAAGCATACAGAATATATAACTAGACTAAAGTACCTGTTCGCCTACTGTGCTGTATTTATTCGCGCTATTCCTGTTCTGAAAAGGTACGTGACTATTCGCGATACCTACAGCTACTGATGACGTCATCCTAGGGCGCGTAGCGCTTTGCTGACGTCAGTCTATCGGTACTTTTACTGTACTAACTATACGAATTCCTTGAAGTGCATAAGTCTCGACATTATCTCAACAACGCGCAACCCCATGGAATCGTTTTTAGGAACATTCGGTCAGTCCGAACACATCGTTATAGTGCGTCCAACCCGTTACGCCCTCACGAGATGATCGAGAATTCTCAAATTACCCTCGTCTGTGTGTGAAAACAAATGTTTCATTTGCATCGCTTGTCTGGCCATCACGCGCTCCGACGGTATCAAGGAGGCTCGGTCTCACGTGGCAACCGTTGAGGCGCCTCAAAAGCCGACTTGTTCCATATCTCATACGCTGAATTTCGTTTGTCAGCAACGCATCTGTGCAGCTGCCTGTGTGGCTTGCACTCTCGACAAGCAATTTCCGTGACCTTTCACTTGTTTTTCTCTCTTGACCATGCATTTCCAGTGGGTCTTCCGGATATCGCTAACGTCGTATTTGTTGTGCTTGATATCATCTTACCTTGCAGGTCTGCTCACCACGTGTCTCCTTCAGGCAGCTTACTGGTTCGTTCCCCACCGTCTCGTTCTTTCTCCCACGCCCTTCCCATACCTTTTCCACTCCTAACCCGTGCCATTCCCATGCCACCCCCCCACGCGTTACCCCTGCCTTCGCCATGCCTCATCCATGCTTCACAGCCCTGTTGATGATTGATTCCTATCGGATAGTCCCTTTTGGGCAACAGCCCCCATAGTCATCCAGCATCTCCACTTCCCTACAGTCACACCTCTCAAGTTCAGCCCCTCATAATTTCCTCCCCTGTCCCACGCGTCCACCATTATCTCAGGAACGCCTTCCAAGAAGCTTCCTTGCCTTATACCCGCAGCAGCATCTCTACAGCCCCCTTCGCCTGCTCCCTCCTCTCCTCCCTCCTCTGGACGGCCTACGCCCTCCCTATAGTCACACCCCGCCGCGTTCTCTTCCTGCTCGCACACCTCCTACAGTCACTCTCCCTCTCCGCCCTCCTCCTCGCCCTTATCTCCTCTGACCCTTCCGGTATCACGCTGCTGCGCCTGGTACGTTGTTCATTCATGGTTTCGGTGATTGTGGAAGTTATTTAAAGAAATTCCAAACAGATTAAGGAACCTCTGACAGCAAGCCGCTTCTAAGTCCCGCTATAAGCCTCTCTTGTACGTTATAAGACCCGCTTGACTGAGTGAGGGGGGGTGGTTCTTTGCAGGTCAGGTCAAAAGTGGTCCCTCATCCAGACCAGACCAGCACCACTCATGGTGGTTGAGTCAACTCAAAAGTGGTCCCTCATCCAGACCAGCACCTCTCGCAGTTCCAACCTGCACTGCAATCCGAATGGCTGTATGCTCTTACCTTCCTCATAGTACCTCAACTTTCACTTCGCATCCCTCAGCGGCAGGTGCTGCAGCTGCTGCTACCGGCCTCAGGCCTTTCCATTCTGGTGCTCTTCCTCGGGTCCTTCTTCGCACCTTCCTCCCTCGTCATTGGATGGACTGCCTCAGCTGCTGCTGCTCTCCTGCTCGCCTTTCAGCCTCTTTCCCGCATGGTACGGGCTGCTGCTATGAGTTCTTGAGATGACGTTTGAGTCGACTCACAAGTCACCTTGCTGCTGTTTTTCCGCTCGCCTCTCTGCCCCTTTCCCGCATGGTATGGGCTGCTGCTAAAGAACAATGTTCCTGTTCTGCTCTGTTCTGTTCTGTTCTAATCTGGATTAAAGCAGGGATTAAAGTAGTGAAGTACTACTAGGTGAGGGTACGATTAAATGAGGTTACTACTAGGTGAGGGTACTACTAGGTGAGGGTACTACTAGGTGAGGGTGTTATTAGGTGAGGATACTACTAGGTGAGGATACTATTAGGTACTACTATTTGAGGGCACTACTAGGTGAGGGCACTCCTAGGCGAGGGTACGCTTGTATCACTTTTGAGAAATTTCAAGAGTGGTACAGGCTAACGTTCAAAGTCTGAGGCCAAATCATTGAAACTGTACAGGGAAAGGAGTGTAATAAGGACACCATTGCGATGCGATCAAGCATCACACATCCCCTGCCCATTTATCCCTTTAGGTCAGAAATATCTTCTGAGGCGCCTCAAAAGTCTGCCCATTTATCCCTTTAGGTCAGAAATATCTTCCACTCCCACTTCCCCTCCTCCCCTCATCTGCTCCTCTTGTCATCCCCTCATGCTTTATCAGCCCAGCCTGTTGGACATGGCAATATGCGCCCAGCCATCACACCTCGTCCCCACCTTCTCAGATCTAGCTGCTACACGCACATGAGCTGCCTTTGCCTGTACCACTCACAGCCACCTCGTTGCCCTAATCTCCTCATATTTACCATGACCCCATTCCCTCTTCCCCTCATGCCCGCATCAGCTCAGCCTGCTGGACACGGCCCCATCCGCCCCACCTCTTCCTCGGCTGCTCATCGCTAGCTGCTGCACGCACATGAGCTGCCTTTGGCTTCGCCTCTCATTATCACTTTGTTGCCCTAACCTCCTCATCCCCCATCCCACATCAGCTCAGCCTGCTGGACACGGCCTCATGCGCCCAGCCATCACACCTTTTCCTCTGCTGCTCAGCTCTAGCTGCTGGATGCACATAAGCTACCTTTGGCTGGGAATCACCTCGTTGCCCTGATTCCCCCATGTCTCAGTGACCTCATTTTATTTCCTCTTCCCCTCATCTTCTCATGCCCTCGTGCTTTATCAGCCTAGCCTGCTGGACACGGCCTCATGCGCCCAGCCATCGCACCTCTTCCTCAGCTGCTCAGCTCTAGCTGCGGCATGCACATTCCCTAATGACCCCATTCCCTCTTCAACACACCCTTTCATCTCACATCAGATCAGCCTGCCGGACCCGGCAACACCCCCCCAGCCATCAAACCTCTTCGTCAGCTGCGCAGCTCTGGCTGCGGCATGCACATGGGCTGCCTTGGCTTTGCGTCTCACAACTATTCCCATGCATTCCCTCATGCTCTATTGACCTCATTCCCTCATCCCCTCACCTTTTCATCCCGCATCAGATCAGCCTGCTGGACACGGCCTCATGCGCCCAGCCATCACACCTCTTCGTCAGCTGCTCGGCTCTAGCTGCTGCATGCACATGGGCCGCCTTTGGCTTTGCCGCTCACGACCACTTCATCTCCGTGAGTGCAACTTGTGAGGTGCCTCAAAAGTCAACACTGCTTCTGCATGCCCATAGGTTGACTTGGCGTGAGGGTGTCTCAAATTCTCAACTAATGCATGCCCATTAGTTGACTTACCCATCATCAATTCCACCCTAGATGCAACTCTGCTTCTGTAACATGCTTACATCTCCGCCTCCCTTTTCCTTCCCGCTTGCCTCAGCTTTCTCCTCTTTTCCCACTTCTCCCTCCCTTTGTTTTCATCTTTCCGTTTTCCCTTGCCATTCAGGTGCCATACGTGGTGGTGGCAGTGCTTGAAGCCCTGTTTTTCGCTCTTTCCACATTCCTGGGGTGAGTGTGTCGCTCGCTGCCATCCTTACGAGAAGCTTCCATCCACGCGGTTTCGCCCCCACAATGCTGCTTGAAGTTCATACACCAACCGCACTTGGCTCAACTTTCATATATCCTCCTCTGGTTTTGAGACGTCTCAAAATAAGTTCATGCACCAACCGCACTAGGCTCAACTTTCATATATCCTCCTCTGGTTTTGAGACGTCTCAAAACAAGTTCATGCACCAACCGCACTAGGCTCAACTTTCATATATCCTCCTCTGGTTTTGAGACGTCTCAAAACAAGTTCATGCACCAACCGCACTTGGCTCAACTTTCATATATCCTCCTCTGCGTCGATGCTTGTTTCATCAACTCCAGAAAGTCCTCTGTCTCCCGTGCAATCCCTCTCCACTCCTTCGCGCCCATCCGCTTCGTTTCTCCACCCTTTCCCATCCCTCTGTACTTCCCCTCCCATCCGCAACCCCCTTCATTTCCCACCCATCCTCTCCCCCTTTTACTCCCCAACCATCCTCACCCCCTTTTTATTCCCAACCATCCATCGCTACCCATCTCTACCCATCCGTACCCCCCTCCCAGCACTGCCAGCAGTGCAGCGTCACAGCAGAGGGCAGCAGAGGGGTATGAGCTGGTTGCCCCCACGGCGTCAGAATCAGGCTTGACAGAACAATCGCTGTGAGTGCTCCATGTTTTTATGCGTGTTTTGAGACGCCTCAGAACTCGCTGCCAGCAGTGCAGCGTCACAGCAGAGGGCAGCAGAGGGGTATGAGCTGGTTGCCCCCACGGCGTGAGAGTCAGGCTTGACAGAACAATGTGAGTGGGCCCTGCCTGTGCGTGGATACTCCCTGTTTGTACACCTCTGTGCTGAGACGCCTCAGAACTCGCTGCCAGCAGTGCAGCAGTGCAGCATCGCAACAAAGGGCAGGCGAGGGTAGCAGAGGGGGATTTATCACCTGGTCTTGGGACATGTTCTCTCAACTGGTCTTGGATCCTGCGTTCGGGGGATTTATCACCTGTTTGCCCCCACGGCATCAGAATCAGCCCTGACACAGCACTCGCCCTGAGTGGCCACTGCTCGCTCCCCTGGATTCCCCATATATGCCCCTAAACACCCCTCTAGACCCTGTAACACTCTTGTATACACCCAATGTATACTCCTGTATTTACCCACAGGCATTCCACTGTATACCTCTTTATACCCACTGTACAGGAGCATATGAGGCCTCTCAGTGGTCCCTCCCAAGCATGCCCGAGTGACCTCATATTCTTCTGCACACTATGCCATCATGGGCACAATATGCCATCATGGGCACAATATGCCATCATGGGCACAATATGCCATCATGGGCACAATATGCCATCATGGGCACAATATGCCATCATGGGCACAATATGCCATCATGGGCACAATATGCCATCATGGGCACAATATGCCATCAGTTTTCCTCTGCTGCTGCAGTATCCCTCCCTCCCCAGTCTCCCCTTCCCATAGCTTTTACCGAACACATCCGCTCTGACTTTGAGTTGACTTAAAAGTCATCTCTACACTACGCTAAAATTTTTTGTCAACTCAAAAGTCATCTATACACTACGCTATCAATTTTCCTCTGCTGCTGCAGTTCCCCCAGTCTTCCATTCCCACAGCAATGACTCATCCTCTCTGCTTAATTGATTGTTGTGCTGCTTGCTTGCTTACTTGCATTGCATGTGTGCAGAGAGGATGCACCGGATGAGTTTGACGAGTGGTTACAAATGGATGTGCTACATGGCCGTAGACTCGCTTAGCAGCGATACTGGTACATTACACTGCAATGTAATAATAAGAGATGGAGGTTGGATGTGTACAGTGTTCAGATCTGCTTTAGTTTCAGAAAGATCTGGCTCTGTAACTCAAGCATTGGTGTGAAAAGAAGCAGTTGCGTTACTCATGGGAACACCAAGGAACCACTACCTCCACATCAGGTACCTGGGAGGCATTTCACCCAGCCGCATTACATACAGTACTGGGTAGACAGAGGCTAAAAACATTTCAGTAAAGATACGATGGTGAAAGCAATCAGGACATTATTAAGTCCTGTACCGGTATATGAAACATAGCTTGTTCTTGCAGCTCGAACCATTCCAGAACTTACCTAGGAGACACCCAAATCTGGCACCTCCTAATACGGTATGTTCCAAACAACCAGCCTGGAAAACTGGCCAGCAGCAGGCCGGCAGGCCAGCAGGGCATGTGCCCTGACTCTGAACATCCTCTCCCTTCTGCTCCCCGCCCTCACATCCATCGGTGCTCCAGCCTTCCGTTGAAAATCTAGTCCTTCCAGTCTCTATTTTCCGGCTGCTGGCACACAAGTCATGACCCAGGCCTCAGGCAAACAGGTTACCCCCACTTTCCTCACCACCGTACACACATTCACCCGAGTCCCTGTGTTTCCGCCTTGATGTTCGGCTTGATTGTATTGCTCCCCGCAGCCCTCACAATGTCCACACACTCATCCATGTCCTGAGGCGACTCATATGCACCTCCACAGCCCCCCACTTCACCCTCTCCCAGCCGTTTCAGCCTTGATATTCAGCTTGATCGTATTGCTCCCCGAAGCCCTCACAATGTGAACACACTCGTCCATGTCCTGAGGCCCCGCCAGCACCACCCACTCGCCGTCCTCATCCAAATACTTGAGCGAGAATGCCCCCACCGGCACTCTCAGCCTGCTCGCTACTTCATCCTGCACCAACTGGTAAGTTGAGGGGTTCAGTGCCACTCTGAACCGGATTGTATCGCCCCCGAATGTGGCCTTGATCGTTACCACTGACTGGGTCCCTCCTGCTGCTCCGGCTGCTCCTGCTCCTCCTGCTCCGGTGCTTGCTGCTGCAGCAGAGGCAGAGGCAGCAGTCCTGTCAGCCTCCCATAGGTGTAGCGACGTGGTTGGGGCATGAGCACCGCCAGTGGCAGCACCGCCAGTGCCAGCACCACCAGCACCCCCAGCAGCCCCTCTACCCCCGAACCCACCCAGCCCAGCTCCTCCTGTGCCTGAGTGCCGAAGGGCAGCCATGTCGGCAGCACAGGGCGCACCCCCACGCAGCCGCCCTCCCACCCCGCCTGCAGCGGCCTCATGCCCCTCAAACCCTCCCCTGCCTCCCCCTGCTGCCCCTCCGCCTCCCTGCCCGTCCCTGCCCCCTCCTGTGTGCCCCTGCCCCTGCTGCCCCTGCTGGTGGTCGTTGGATTGGTCCCCTGCAATGGGCTGGTAGCTGCGTAGAGCCACAAACGCTGACCGGCCCCCGTGCACCCGCGTCTCCTCCCTTTGCTGCCCTCTGCGCCCACCCCCAGCGCCACCAGCACCAGCAGTGGCAGCTTCAGGCTGAAGCTGCTGCTGCTGCTGCTGCTGCTGTTGAGGGTGCTGCTGTTGGTGCTGCTGTTGTTGCAACCATTGCTCTGCAGCACCACCCCCTGCCGTGCCTGCTTGCCCACCCAGGCTCATCCCCAGCTGCCCGTCCCTCTCCCCCTCCCCACCACCGCCTCCCCCACCCCCTCCCCCCTCCTGTCTCCCCACCCCCATCCCCTCCCCCGCATCCCCCTCTCCCCTTCCCCCTGTCACCGTCCCTCCAACCAGCCCCATTTCCTCATCACTCCTCCGAAGCAGACTGGCCAATAGGCTCGTGCCATGTGTCGTGCCCTCGTCATCCCCCCCAGCAACCGCCCCACTTGCTCTCTGCGTCCCGGCTCCATTCTTAAGACTCAAAGCAAGGCTCAGATTGGAATTAGACGGATCACGCGGAATCGGCAGCTTGCCAGGTGGCGGCGTCCTATTCGCCGCGTGCATCCCCCCTGCGCTTCCCGCCATTCCCCCGTGCATCGATCCTCCCGCTTGGTTCGGCCCAAGGCCTCCTCCTGAACCTCCGCTTCCGCCAGGCCCGGCCATGCCTGCAGCAGCAGCCGCTGCAGCAGCAGCTGCCGGGCCTGCATATGAACCCCCATGGGGCGAACCCATCATCATATGTGCCCCATGGCCCGATCCCCCTGCAAAGAAATATCCACCATGATGCGACCCCCCTGCTTGCATGCCTGCTGCCATGCCAGGACCACCCATACCACCCATACCACCCATACCCATACCAGCAGCTTGCATTCCAGCCATGATCCCCCCATGCATTGACCCTCCCCCATGCATCGACCCCCCTGCCCCATGCATAGACCCCCCCACATGAGCCACGTGTGGCCCATGGGCGGAACTACCCATGAGGATATACCCCCCCTGCACTGCCCCCCCTGGGAACGGCCCGTGATTTGATCCTGCTCCCGCTGCTGCAGCCAGTAGAGCCGCGCCATGTGTCGACCCGCCCGCTCCCCCAAAGGCATTTCCCCCATGTGCCGAACCTCCTGCGAACGCCATGCCTCCGTGTGTCGAACCTCCCGCGAACGCATTCCCACCATGTGCCGAACCTCCCGCAAACACCATCCCCCCGTGCCCCGAACCACCCACGCCCATGAACGGGCCGTGCGCCGACCCTCCTGCAAAGTGCCCATGCGCCGAACCTCCAGCCATGGCAAGAGGTCCGTGCGCCGAACCTCCCGTGGCTAGGGGCCCATGTGCCGAACCTCCAGGTCCGTGCGCCGAGCCTCCGACCATATGGTCGAGCATGGAGGGATGGCGATTCCCGGGCCAGGGAAGGGACTGGAAGGAGGTGGAGTTGAAACCGAAGGAGGGAGCTGGGAGCATAGTGGAACCTCCTGGGACATGTGCTTGTTGCCCTGTCCCACCCCCTGCTGCTGTGGCTGCTGCTGCTGCTGCCGCTGCTAATGCTTGGTTTGAAAATGCTGGGGAGTTGGATGACCCTCCGATCTGGTAGGTTGGGGAGAGGAGGGGAGGGGGAAGAGAAGGAAAGACATGCAGGAAGGGAGAGAGTGGAGTTTGTTGGGATTTTGCTAAAGCTGAGTTTAAATATGGCAGGATACAGCTACGACACAAGGGACAGACAGAAGCGGCTTTTGAGGCGCCTCTAAAGCTGAGTTGAAATATGGCAGGATACGGCTAAGACACAAGGGACAGACAGAAGCGTCAGGTAAGGAGCTTAGATAGTCGAGGGTTTAGGGCTTAGAAACCCTAAACCCTAAACCCTAAACCCGAGGTGCATGGAATAACAATTGCTTCACCTCACACTGCTGTCCTATCCCTAACTCAAAACCTAAACCTAACCCTAACCCTAACCCTAACCCTGACCCTGAACCCTAAACCAGGTCTTCCTCCCGTACCTGGGCCCCTGTGACCGCCTTCACCGCCGCGGCCGTCGCCAGCTCAGACGTGATGGCGTCCAATCGCAGCGCACCAGCTGGCACCTGCACGGACTCGATCACGTCCTGCAGCTTCTGAATGCTTCTCGACACCTTGTTGATCTTGCGGGACGGCCACCGCGCTATGCCGTGCTGCCTGCATATGCGCTTTAGTGTGGTGGGGCACACTGAATGGATAGGAGAGGTGGGGAGAAGCGGAAGAGAAAGGAGGTGCAGGGGAAGGAGAGGACGGGTGGCAATGAGGAGAGGAGAGGAGAGGGATGAATGCTAGACGTGCACACGGGAACCCTTTGAGGCGCCTCAAAAGTCGTCACCTGCCACGGACTCAATAACTTGTTGATCAACAAGTGACTTGCGCCACGGCCACCTGGCAATCCCATGCTGCCGACAGATCCTTTTTAGCGTGGTGGGGCACACTGGATGGTTAGAGGAGGGGGGCGGGGGGAAGGAAGGGAGGGGAAGTAGAGGGCAGATGGCAAGGAGGAGAGGGGTGAATGCTGGTCATGCAGTGCACACAGAAGGCCGTCAGTCACCATGCGATGATGTCCTGGAGCTTCTGAATGCTTCGTGACATATCCTTGGTAATCTTGCGAGATAGTCACCGCGCTATGCCGTGCTGCCGACAAATCCTTTTCAGTAGCAGGAACCCCAAGACTCACCTCCATTACAGCACACACCACACACACTCACACCACCACCACTCACACCGCACACCCTCACCCTGCAACTTACCTCCACGTGTGATAAGTCGATTTTTGAGTTGACTAAGAAATCGACTTATCACCCTCACCCTGCTGCTCACCTCCCAGTGCCTTAGCAGCGTCCTTGAGGCTCTTTTTGAGGCGCCTAAAAAAAACTCACCTCCCAGTGCCTTAGCAGCGTCCTTGAGGCTCCCGGCAAAGTACTGCTGCAGCACGCCCAGACTGATGCTCTTCTCGTTCGTCCCCCCCCTCCGCTTCTCCCCCTTCTTCACGCCCCCCTTCGCCCCCGCCTCCGCCCCTCCCGCCCTCTCCTCCCCCCCTCCTCCTCCCCCCGTCACATCCTCCTCTACCCGCATTCCCCCCTGCCTTCCCTCTTCCGCCCCCCCCGAGGGCTGCCCCGAGCTTGCCCCATCTGGGGTACCCTCCAGCGCCCCTCCCCCCTCGTCCAGGCTGTCACCACTCCTGTCTGACGTGGCAGGGACACCTGATTGGCCAGCAGGTGCAGCTGCCACCTCGCTGCCGCCCAACACAGGGTCGGCAGGGGCGGCAGGGGCGGCAGGGGCGGCAGCTGTAGATACCATGGGTGGAGGACCTGAGCTTTCACCTGAGAAAGCGTCTTCAGGTAGAGGCGGCATGGCCTGCATGCCCATGCTTGTGCCCATCCCACCTGCATTGATGTTGATGCTGCTGCCACCACCCATGCCTGTTCCCATGCTTGTGCCCATTCCTGTGGCCATGCCTGTTTCCATGCCCATAAGTGTGGTTGGAGCCTCTCCCACCTCCCCCTGCTGCTGCTGTTGCAGCTGCTGTTCGGAAAAACCACCTTCTGCCCACGCATTGCCGATACCACCACCACCACCGTTACCCATATTTCCATCACCACTTCCCATGACCCCACCATTCCCCACGACCCGTTCATTATCCCCTTCGTCTCCTCCTCCACACCCTGAACCATTCCCTCCTGCACCAGGCACAACAGCACCATTCCCCAGCGGAAACGCCACATGAGCCGAGCCATTGCCAGGTGGCGTGCTGTGAGTGGGTGGCGCACCGTGAGCCAGTGGCGTGACTACGGAACCTTCACAGAGCTCTGCCATTGCTGCTGCTTCAAAGGGACTGCTCTCTCCCATTCCATTATCCCCCACTCCAGTGTCCCTTATACCAGCAGCAACCCCGACCTCACACACCCTCGCACCGTCCCCCTCCCCTTGTCCCTCCACTCGCCTCCTCTTCACCTCCCTTCCTCGTTTCTCTGGAGTCTCGGCCCCCTCCCTCATTCCCTTCTCCCCCACACCCCTCACCACACTAACTCCCTCCGACACCCCTTCCCCCACCACCCCCTTCCCCTTCCCTCCCCCCCACGCCCCGCCCCTCGTCTCTCCCATCCCGCCTCCCATCACCGACCCACCGGCCACCGAGCCTCCCGCCCCCGCACCTCCTGTCCCCGAGCCTGACCTTGTGCCTCGACTACCCCCACTCTTCCCGGACCTACTCCCGGACCTACTCCTCCCCATCTCCTCCACAGTCACCGTCCGGAGGCTCCGACACGCCTCCTGCATGCTCTGCGACAGCTGCGTCAACAACCTCTGCTGCTCCTCCTTCTCCCTACACCCCGGCGGCAGGAAAAACTCCAAAACATAGTCCATATCTTTACTCAAAACCGACCGCAGCCGGATGGCAACGGCGGCTCGGAGCCCGAACATGCGCGCGTAGTGCACTAGAGGGTACTGCTCTTTTGAGAGGAGCTGGAGATCGTCACAGAAGGCGGGGGCGTTGGAGGTCATGGCGCGGCCGGGGCAGCCCTGTGCGGCCTGCAGCTGGTGCTCGCAGCAGGCCTGGCGGAACCCCCACATGCGCAGGTCTGCCACACAGCTCGGCATGTCTGCTGTGAACAGTGTTACTGCGTCCTCCTCTCCCTCTTGCTCCTCCCCTCCCTGCTGCTCCCCTCCCTGCTGCTCCTCCCCGTCTCGTACCCCTCCTCTCCCCGCTCCTTCTCCTCTACTCTCTCCACCAACATGGAACACCTCAAACACATCTTCCTGTAAGCTTCCCACGTCAACTGCCCCCTTTCCCCGCCCCGCCCCCTCTCGTCGCATGCTCCACCCCACCCCCACACTGCTCCGCATGCTCGCCCCTACCGGCCCCGCGCTCCCCTGAGCCAGCCCCCGAGCCGCAGGCTCGATAGCGGCGGGAGGTTCGGTGAGGTGGACCCAGGAGGAAGGGATCCAGGTCTGGGCGAGGGGGAGCGAGTGCTTGTCGCAGAGTGAGGAGAGAACCTCGTGAATCTCGGTTAAGACGGCTCCCCTGCCTGGAAAGGGCATCTGAGAGGAAGAGTAGGCGGGTGGGGGAGAGGAGGGATGGAGAATTTGGGACACATGCTAGGAGCAGGGCAGGGAGTGCTTGTCGCAGAGCGAGGAGAGCACTTCGTGTAACTCGGTTACCACTGCCCCGCGGCCACGGAAGGGCATCTGAGAGGGAGGAGAGGCGGCAGAGAGGAGGGACGAAGAAAGTGAGAGACGCTAGGGCGAGGGGCAGCGAGTGCTTGTCACAGAGCGAGGAGAGCACTTGGTGAATCTCGGTTAACAATGAGCGTCACAGAGCGAGGAGAGCACTACTCCCCGGCCCGGGATGCAGAACGAAGGGGTGCCATGAGGATCAGTGAGGATGCAGTGAGGCAAGACCTGAGGGGTTACTAATTAGTATGAGACATTCATTAGCAGTCAGCATGTCAGAAACAAGGACGCTGTGGGAGTGGATCAACCATGGTCGTACGCAGCGAGAACCTTCGGTAACCAGCTCCTCTAAGTAGCCCATGAGTAGCTATTCAAAACATATTTAACAGCGCACCTCTGCTGGAAGGTGGTCCCATGCGCGGATGCTGGTGAGATCCACCGTCTGTGGGAGAGCACAAAGTGGGGGCACAGAGACACGGCAAGGCATGTGATGAGGGAAGTTGAGGACCAGACATGCGAAAATTCTCAAGGCAAAAAAAAAAAAAAAAAAAAAAAAAAAAAAAAAAAACACACACACACCGTATTTCTGAAGATTTCTAAGAAACCAACTGGTATATACTGCCCCACCCACGCCACTCTCCTCTCCACGTGATACCTCTTTTGAGCCGTATGGAACGTGCACTGCACAACAACCTCCCTGCACTGCATCCCTCTGCAACGCACTGAATCCCGACACATCCCCATCCAACCCTCTGCACCGCATTGCACCCCAATCTCTCACCTGCAGCGCATTCCACACGGCATCAATCTGAGGGCCAAAACGCACGTCCTCGCCCATCATCACCAGCTCCACGACCGCTCCCTGTTGTTAACATGACCTAGACCACATGCACCAATCTGCACCGCACTGCACCCCATATCCAAACCACATGTGCCCCTCCTCACCGCATTGCACCCCAATCTCTCACCTGCAGTGCGTTGCACACAGCGTCAATCTGAGGGCCAAAACGCACGTCCTCGCCCATCATCACCAGCTCCACCACCGCCACCAGCTCCTGCCTCTTCCTCCCCCTCATTCCCCCCCCTCCGCTTCCCCCTCCCCCTCCCCCTCCCCCTCCCCCTCCTTTCACCACCATCACCTTCCCCCCACTCTCCCCTTCATCCCCCTCCCCCTCCCCCTCCCGTTCCCCTCCCGCCTCCCACTCCCACCCGCCTTTGCTACTCCCGCTGCTGCCCGTCCCCCAGCTCTCCCCTCCCCCCTCACCGCCCCCTCCCCTCTTCCCCTTCCCCTTCCCCCCATTTCCCAGCACTCTGAAAATGGGCACGGCGAGAGCCCCGCGCACGTTGCAGCGAGTGGCATGCGCGACTCGGAGGTATTCGTCCCGCAAATAGTACTGCACGTTGGGTGTCCACTCGGGGCGACCGGACACAAAGACACGGCCCGGTAAGCCCAGGTACCCGCTGCCAGACAAGGGGAATGTGTAGCTGGGGGGGAAAGGGTGGGGGGGGATGGAGGGGGGGGGAGGAAAGGGAAGAAAAGAAGGCGTGAGAGACTGTAAGGTGGTAAGAAGGATCCGAGCACTCACTGGTGGAGATGGTGCGGTAGATGCGAAGCTTCTCAAAGGCATCTGTGAAAAGCACTCGGCCCCACCACACCACCACCACCCCTCTTTTGCGGCTCACTTGGTGGAGATGGTGCGTGCAGTAGACACGCAGCTTCTCCTCGCTACCCTCCATCAGCACACACGGCTGCTCGCGCGTGCTCAGCACCCTCAAGTCAAGACATCCCCTCTCCTCAGCCCCTCCCTTCCTTTCGCCCTCCCCACCCTCTACTCCTCCCCCCTCGGCTCACTTGGTGGAGATGGTGCGGTAGACACGCAGCTTCTCGCTGCCCTCCATCAGCACACACGGCTGCTCGCCTCCATCTGACATACCCCCACGCCCATCACCCCACCACCACCACCCTCGCCCCATCACCAACACCCTCGCCCCCCCACCACCACCCTCGTTCCACCCCCTCTCACTCACTTGGTGGAGATGGTGCGGTAGACGCGGAGCTTCTCGCTGCCCTCCATGAGCACAAACGGCTGCTCGCGCGTGCTCAGCATACGCTGCCCCTCGTGCCACGTGGGGAACCACACCTGCGCCAGCATGTCTCCGCGCGACTGGGGTGTTGGGTGGGGGAGGGTGAGGGGAGAAGGGAGTGGCGTCTCTACTGAGAGCGGGGACAGCAGGAAAGGGCCACGTGGGGAACCGCACCTGCGCCAGCAGGTCTCCGCGCGACTGGGGTGTTTGGGGAGGTGGGGGGAGAGGGGGGAGAGGGGGGAGAGAGGGGGGGCGTATCTACTGTAAGAGGGGGAAGAAGGAGAGTGCCACGTGGGGAACCACACCCGCGCCAGCAGGTCCCCGCGCGACTGGGGTGTTAGGGTGGGGAGAAAGGGGGACGAGGGAAGGGAAAGGGGAATTTCTAATGAGAGCCACACCCGGAAAAGGGGAGAGAAAGAGAGTGGCACTTGGGCAACCACACCTGCGCAAGCAGGTCCCCGCGCGACTGGGGTGTTAGGGGGGTAAATTGGGACGGGGGAAGTGAAAGGAGAATCTCTAGTGAGAGGGGGGAGAGAAGGAAAGTGCCACCCACTCCCGCCCATTACCCCTCTCCCCCTCACCATCAATGCTTTCCCCCAAACCACCAACCCTATCCCGCCCACTGCGCACACACCTGACAGAGGCTTCTCAGCGCCTTCTCTATCCGCACCCGCAGCCCCGGGACCCTCTCTGTGCGCGCGCCCCCTGCCACCTGCAGCACATTCCTCGGCGGAGCGCACACCAGCTGCCCCGCGCCTCCTCTCCCGCCCGCGCCCCTTCCGCCTCCCCTTCCCCCTCCCCATCCGCCCCCCGCGCCCCTGACCAGCACCCCCGCCTTGGAATCCTCCTGCTGCTCGTCCCCTTCCTGCCCGTCTGCGAGCGATCCCGCGCAGCTGAGCGGGTGGGGCGAGGAGAACATGGATAACAACGAGACGAAGTTGGGGGAGTCGGGGCACATGAGCGCGGAACCCGTGGGGACCATGAGGGAACCCGCGGGCACCATAAGGGCGGAACCCGCGGGGGCCATGAGCGCGGAGCTGCTAGGTCCGCCTGTGATGAAAAGGTCGCCGCTAGGCTGCGCGGAAAAAGCGGAAATCTCCAAAATATCCGCCTCTCCTGCTGCTGCACCTGGCCCACTTGCTCCTGCTGCTCCTACTATGGCTGTAGCTGTTGCTGTAGCTGTAGCTGAAGCTGATGCTCCTGTTGCTGCCGGCCCTGCGGAAGGTGACAAGACCTCAGCGTGGTTTACAGGGACTGAAGCGCTGGCTTCTGGAAGGGAGGCCGGCGCTAGCTGCTGCTGCGAATTTTCAAGTTGCTGCGCTGGCTGCCGCTGCGAGAGCTGCGGCATGTCTTGCGAATTCTGACGACGCTGCATCAGCTGCTGCTGCTGCTGCTGCTGCTGCAGCCGCTGATGTGCCTCCTGTGAATGCTTCTCCTGCTTCAGACGCTGCAAGGGCGACGCTGACCGCTGCTGCTGATGCCCACCCGGCGCAGCCTCTGGATGCTGCTCAGGGTGGTGACGGGACGGATCCAGCACTCTCTGCTTCTGCCGCTGGCTCGGCGCGCTCTGCGAATTCCACATGCCGTCTGCCGCAGCAGTGGCAGCAGCAGCGGCCACTGCCGCTGCTAGCAACCCGCCGTTGCTCGCCTCCTGTCCGAGCTGCACCGCTGCTGAAGCTGCTGTTCCTAAAACAGCAGAGGCGGATGCAGCTGTTGCTAACGGGTGCTGGGACTGACGTAGCAATTCCAGTTGCTGGTGCTGGTGCTGCTGCAACAACGAATCCTGATACTGAGACGCCGCGGCTTGCTGCTGCTGCTGCTGTTGCTGTTGTCGCTCCATGAGCATCTGCAATAGAGCCATGTTGTGCTGTTGCTGATGCTGCTGCTGCTGCTGCTGCTGCTGCTGCTGCTGCTGCTGCTGTTGCTGAAGCGCTAAAAGGCGGGATTCCTCATCTAACTGGCGCTGCATCTGCAATTCGCGGAGAAAATTCTGCGGAGCGGAAGAGGCTGCTAAGGCGCGCGATTGGATCTGGTGGAGCTGCGCTAATTGACCTAATTGCATCGCCTGGTCGTGACCTAATTGCGACAGCAGCGCCTGCTCCTGAAGCTGCGACTGCAGCTGTTGCTGCTGCTGCTGCTGTAGCGGCTGCTCGAGCCATGATTGAGGTGTCAGAGGGAAGCCATCGGGACGCGGAAGAGTGGTGGTTTGAGGAAGGGACTGGCCGGCAATAGGAGGTGCTAATGGATGCCGAATTGTCGCGCCGAAAAAGTCCATAGCGAGGATAACGATGGTACAAATTGATAACTAGATCGAGTCGCGAGCGAGCTCAGCTGGACAGCCACGCGCTAGGCACGGAACGCAGATGAGTTTTGGTCCATGGAAGGTGAGGTGGGGGTGGGGTGAGGTAATCTGTCGCTCTGAGGTAGGAACCAGGTTCGGTTCGATCACGGCGCTTCTGCAGCGCAGGGGACGAGGGAGAGGGAACAGAAAGTAAAACGAACTACAGTACACAGCCGTCAGCAAAAAGCAGATGAAGCTCTGGAGTGAGTTCGCACGAGAGAGAGAAACTAGTGGTGGAAGATAAGCTGACCAATCAGTCGCATCGCAGTTCTCAAAGTGAACAGCAGCAGCAGCATCGCATTACTCAAACCCTAACTGAAAGAACGCCTCATCGGCCATACAAAGTTGGCTTTTCGAAGAGCGAGGAGAAGCAGGAACAAGCTATCCTCGATACTCGCCGCTTCATTTCGAAGGAAACAAGATGAACCAGCCTGGCGTGTCAACGTTTCCCGTGAGCAACATTCTACCACCTTGCCCAAAATCAAGGCCAGGTGGCAGTGGGGGGACCACAAGCCAGCCAGTCGTTACCTCGTGGTTTAGAAGGGTAGCGAATGGAGGTGGCTAAAAGAGCTGGCGCGGCGCGAAATTTGACCAATGGGTGAGAACGAGTCTTGCTTTTGCCGTGTCAGTTCGCTACAGTAAAGCATCCTTCACACCATCGGAACACCACCAACCTCAAAATCTGCTGCAAGTGTTTTTATGCTTGGTATATCCACTAAATAGAGAAACTCCACAGAACACCTCCTCCTCCTTGGATCAAACACATCCACCTCGTAGCCGCATATTATGGATGCTAGTTTTCACAAGTCAGCCGCAATTATATCAGAAGTATGGCATAACCTCCAAATCGTCAATTGACACGTCTTGCAGCTCGAATCTATTACTTTATACAGTAATCAATACGCAAAAATATATACAAACTGATCAAATATGACGAGGAGATCTGTAAAACATCATGATAATGTACAATTCATAATTTGAACCTGTACTAGCTTAGTTGTTTTTTTATTTGTGAATGTGCATGCACTATAACGGATGCAAATACATTCGCGGTCTGAACTGTTGTATTAGCTTAGCAGCTACATGATTTCCTAACATTGTGTTACGGGTGCAATGAATCGAGGTTGCGAGGATTGCACTAGAGTGTTCAACGAGTACAAAGTATGAGCGAAGGCATGTGCGAATACTTATGTGCGAAACATGCAACGGTTACGCTGTGCGTGCGAGCCATCTAGTTTTATCCTGGCATAGAGGTTCGGGCTAGTCCCGAAGCGTAGGCCGACTCGGTTGGGCCAGCGATGCAAGGTTTGGTGAAACAGTGCGCGCGAAGTTGGCGAAGCCGTATTAGCAGTAACGGGCGAACAACGGCTGCTGCTGTAGGCAATGTTGATGATCGCGATAAGGAATGTCGAGAAAAATCCTTACACTACCCCCCCCCCCCCCCCCCCCCTCAAGAAGCCCACTCCGCTACGCGAGTGCGTGTATATCGCGGAAACCCTGGCTCCTCAGGTACACTTGCAGGGCAGGGTGGTTCTCAATGTTGGCTAGAGGCACCCAACTATCCTCAGTTGGCGTGCGGTCCTTCCAGCGAACGAGGAACTTGATCCTCTTGATGCCTGTGGGGTGTCGAATCCGATGGCTCATAATCTTTTCGGGCTCAATGATTGGCTCCGATGCAGGGCGAGTCATGGATGGCGGGCGGTGACGAGGAATTTGGCTCGTGCTTGGGAAGTAAGGGCGAAGCAGGCTGACGTGGAATGATGGGCTGATGTACCAGTCTGTCGGTAACAGTAAATGGGCGGTAACTGGGGTGATCATGTGGCTGATTTGAAATGGTCCACAGTAGCGCGGTCGTAATTTCGGTACGACGAGCAGTCTTAAGTTCAGTGTGTCGCTGGCTGTTGGCCTTTTTAATTGCTTCTGCGGCTCTGGTGCGGGCAGCTCGCAGAATCTCGGCGAATTGTTGTGCGCGTGGCGTTGGGTTTTCCGGACTCGGCGTCATGGGCACTGTTGGGTTTTGCCCATAGTTAATGTAAAGCGGGGACTGCTGCATCGTTGCTGACGTGGCGTTGTTGTATGCGAACTCGATCAGCAGCAGCTGCTGCTCCCATGTTGTCGGATCGTCGCACGTGGCACGAATCAACTGCTCCATTGTTTGATTCGTCCGCTCCGTTTGACCGTCAATCTCCGGGTGGTACGACGAGCTGAACTGTAGCCTGGTCCCTAACTACTCCCAGAGGTTCTTCCAGAAGTTGCTGGTAAACTTCGTGTCGCGGTCGCTGATGATTGCGGCTGGTATCTCGTGCAGTCGAACGACGGTTGCGATGAACAGGCGAGCGGTTTCTTCAGCTGAGATCGATTTCCTGCACGCAGCAAAGTGAGCCATCTTCGTCACTCTGTCAATGACGACCATTACCGCGTCGTTACCCCCAGGGTTCGAAGGTAACCCTGTGACGAAATCCATGGTAACCTGCTGCCAGGCGCACTCGGGCGGTGGAATTGGTTGCAACTGACCCGCCTTTCTTTTTCGCGAGCTCTTCATCACCTGATACATGGGCGGTGGGATTTTCGAGAAAACCCGGGCTGTGCGCAGTTGGTCGTTCAGTTCTTCAGCTCGTGGGATGGGGCAACTGGACTTGATGGTAAACTTGTTCAGTGCGCGGTGATCGATGCACATGCGAAAACCTTCGTCTTTTTTCGGTGTGAACAGTATCGGTGCTGCGAAGGGTGACGAACTCGTGCGAATGAACTCATTCTCGAGCAGATAATCCAGCTGCTTCCTCATTTCGTCCAGTTCGGGTTGGGCCAGTCGGAACTGTCGCTGTACTGTCGGCTATGCCCCCGGTTCTAATTCGATCCTGTGGTCGTGCGGTCGCTAAGGTGGCAGTCCTGTCGGCAGGTCATCCGGGAATATCCCACTGTACTGCTTCAGTAGCGCTGCCAAGTCATCCGGTACGTCTGCTAGCAGTTTATGTAAATCCCCCCCTTTGTCTGCTGCCTCGGCTTCTCGAATGTTGACCGCGTACACGTCAGCTCCTGTCGCTACTGAGCGTTTCATCGTGATTGCGTTGGCACGCACCGACGAAGACTCAGGCGAGCCCCAGCGAGGTAAGGCGATGTTGTTGCCGTTCACTCGCACGGTGCAGTCACCCGTCGTCCAGTCGATTCGCAGATTGTGTCGTCGCAACCAATCACGGCCGAGTAAAATGTCGGTTCCATCGAGGGTTGTCGCAAGCATTTCCTGACGAAACGTGAAGTTACCCCCGCATCGAATCCGAACTCGGTCCATGCGTTCCCGTATCGCCAGTGGCGTGCCGTCGACCAGTCTTGCGTCAATCTCAGGTAAACACATGTCCAGTGGCTGTTTCAGTTTTCGTGTTGTAGCGGTGTTGATGAGGCTGTGGCTGGCTCCCCCATCTACGAATATTTGAACTATGTCCCAATTTTCCCACTAAGCAGTATGGGGCTGTCTACCGTGGTACCCTCCTTATTCGGCCGGGTGTGGTCGATTGCGTGAACCGGCACAATCACTCGGTGAGGGTCAGTTGGGTCGGGCGAGCGACGTGACCTGTCAGTAGAGGGCCCGTCTGCTACTGACTCCCAACGTTTTCCTGCTGCTTGGTCTGTTTCTTCTGCTCAGCTTCCCCCTTTCCCTTAGCGTTTTCCGGGCATTCCCTTTTGCGGTGTCTTGGCCGATTGCACACGAAGCAACGCCCTTTGAACGGTGCGGCAACGGCATTCGCGGCGACGGCACGTATTGTAGCGCCCTCGTTCGTCCCACGAGACCAATGTCCCCAGTTGTTGTTACTTCCGTAGGACTCCGGTCTCGGTCGGCGGAAGAAATCGAGTTTCTCCGCCATAGTGAGGATCTCCTGAAAGTCGGTGACGCCGCGGAGCTGGATTTCCTGAGCAATGTCGTGCTTCAGGCCGCCGATGTAGCGGCCGATGCGCTCAGGTTTGTGCATGTAGCCCACCTGCTCACACAGCGCCAGAAACCCGCTGGTGTAATCTTGGACGGAACTGAGTTGGCGGCAAGTGCGGAGCTTCTGACGCGCCGCGATCAAAGCCGCAATTGGCTCAAATCGAGCGCGCAGACCTGCGCACCACGCGTCCCACGTGCGATATTGGGGCACCTCCACGAAATACGACGGCGTCCAGGGTCCAGTTTGTCCTTCCCGTGTCGGTAGAGTCGCGTAGTCCGTCGGCTTCGTGACGATGGCACGCCACCAATCCATGGCGAGTCCTCGCAGCAGCGACACGGCGTAGCGGATTTTCGCCGTATCCCCTGAGACGTAGTTGGCGTCGAAGAAAACGTTAAACGTGAAAAGCCACGCCCGAACGGTAGGACCACCCCGTTGACTCGGGTCAAAGCATGGCGGGCGCTGTGGCTTCAGCAACATCGGCGACTGCAGTGTTGATTCGCCGACCGGCACAGAAATCGTGACGCGGGGTTGACTCCTGGCCGCATTCGTCGCTTCGGGGTGTGTCGTGCCGTGGTCGTCGTCTCCGTCGCTGCGGACGACGCCATCACTGGCCGCGCTCGCGGGTTGCCCCACACTTCCGTGCTGCGATGTCTGTGGTGCAGGTTGTCCCGGAGTGCCAGGTGCTTGCGAATGTGCTTGCTGTGCTCGTGCGACGTTATTCTGCAGGGACGTGCGTTCTGCCGTCAGCGCCGCGATTTCTTCAGAGCTTTCGCGAAGTTGCTGCAGCAGTTCGTTCAGACGGTCCTGCGTGAGCGTGGTGACGTCGATGTGTTCGGCCATGTCGAAGGGCGTCGGCTCAGCTTAGTCTAGGCGCAGTCGTGGCTGCACGCGTTTACGAGAGAACGCGAGGACAGCGGCTCCTAGGTGCTAAGGAGCGTGAGTCCCTTCGAGTGAAAAATCAAAAGTTGATTTCCTGGGGTGCAGAGATGCGAGGTCCGAATATGAAAGAGGCTCTGAATACCAAGGAATGAATCGAGGTAGCGAGGATTGCACTAGAGTGTTCAAAGAGTCCAAAGTATGAGCGAATACTTATGGGCGAAACATGCAGCGGTTACGTGGTGCGTGCGAGCTAGCTAGTGGTGCACTGGCATGGAGGTTAGGGCTAGTCCCGAAGCGTAGGCCGGCTCGGCTGGGCCAGCGATGCAAGGTTTGGTGAAATAGTGCGCGCGAAGTTGGTGAAGCCGTGTTACCAGTAACGGGCGAACAACGGCTGCTGCTGTAGGCGATGTTGATGATCGCGATAAGGAATGTCGAGAAAATTCTACACATTGCAAAGATGGAACACTGTCTGCGTTTAGAAGATGCGCGTGAAATAGGTCAGAGTGGTTGAGGACGTTTAGCAATTAGAAACCCTGCACTTATAGCCATGTCGCGTCTTCAGTAGTTATTCGTAGCTAGACGGTCTGATTGTTAGCGTGTTATTCTGACGTCCTTTAAGTCGACTGAGATGGCCGGATGGGTCTGCCGGCGCGGCTGGCCGGCATTAGGGTTAGCGGCGTTGCTCTGTCTCGGCGCTCTGACGAGATGCTCGGCCGCTGCAGACGATGATGAGGAGGAAACCATTTCCGGGAAAACGGGAAATTACCTGTCAGGTCAGTGCACGATGTTTCCTTAGCATTTCGGTCAACGTTGTTAGCGCACGAAACGGCACCTTTTCCAGCCGGTGTAGACTCCGGAAAGCCCGCTGCTTGTGTCCACGAGGTTGGTACTGATGGGTAGCGTTCGCCATCGGCAATCTCGAGGTTGATTCATTTTTCTATCAGTAGGGCTGCTTGAGTCGTGGCAAATGCAATGTCGGTCTCTGCTGATGTCACCCGAGCGTCAGCCGACTAGGGGAGTCTTCCTTCCGCGTGGCAAAGCTTCTGTCGTCAGTGTTTTCAACCATCATCATAAACAGTACCATTATCACTTCGGAACCCGAGAACCGAACCTTATCCAGGTCACGCCGAACCACACGCAGAACCACACGCCGAGCCACACGCCGAGCCACACGCCGAGCCACACACCGCTTCACACACAGAGTCACACGCGACCGCATAACTTCTTTACTTTCTCTAATTTCTCCCCAACTCCCGTCCCTCTCCTTTCTACCCCACTCCGTACACTCCCACTCTGCGCCAATCAGACGCTGCCAAGTGGACATGGCCAGTGGTCAACGAGCCGGGGACAGAAGCGTCAGTGTACAAGGTTCTCTCCTCGTACGTCTTTTTGAGACGTCTTTTTGAGACGTCTCAAAATACAACTTTTATCATCAGAAGCGTCAGTGTACAATGTTCTCTCCTCGTACGTCTCTTTCCCTCCCTCCTTCCATTGCGCTCCACCATCAGTGTTTGTTCGGTTTCGTTTTTCCTTACCTTCGTTCGTTTTGGTCGGGCGAAACAAGCCACACGCCTGAAGGCTGTGATGTTGAAGCCGAGTCGTTGTGAACTTCCCACCTGGAAAGGCACCTGAAGTACACTCTCTCCCCCTTTCCTCCACCACACAATCCCCCTCCTCTTCCTTCATTCCCCGCAGCTGGTGCGGCAACGCGTACGAGGAGATGGTGAAGGACGCAGAGCGCAAGGCGAGGGACCACGAGCGGCTGAAGCTGGAGCGGGACCAGCGGTTTCAGGAGTGGATGCAGTGCCGCCAGGAGAAGTTCATTAAAGAGAAGGTGGGCTTTAATGGAGAAGGCGAGCGGAGAAGGTGGGGTGTTCTTTTGCCAGCGGCGCTGATCTTCAAGTCTCTTAACCCGAATTCCATGCTCAAGTTACTCGCTTGTTCTGTGCACAGTGCATTCCACCCCTCGCGCCCACGACCAGGAGCTAGAGGCGGAGTGTGACAAGAAGCGCAAGCTGTAGGCGAGTTCTCTGAGACGTCCCAGCGTGGAAATTCATCCCCACTGTGCTTCCACCGCATTCTACCACATTTCACCGCATTCCAGGAGCTGGAGGCGGAGTGTGAGAAGGTGCGCAAGCTGCAGGGGTCGGAGTTTGACAGAGAGAGGCTGGTGATGCGCGCCGAGTGCGACATGGAGCTCACTCTGCTGCGCGCCGAGCTGGATGCCTGTGAGATCAAGGTGCGATGAGATCAAGGTGTGTGCATGCACTCAGGAGGCAAAAAGGTGAGATTGGGGCAGGTAGAGAGAGAGAGGCTGGTGATGCATGCCGTGCCGAGTGCGACATGGAGCTCACTCTGCTGCGCGCCGAGCTGGACGCCTGCGAGATCAAGGTGCGTGCATGCAGAATAGGATGAGGTGAGATTGGGGCTTGTTCGAAATGTGAGTATTCTCAAAGGGAGAGAGAGAGGGTCTGGTGATATGTGCAGAGTGAGCTGACATGGAGCTCACCCTGCTGCGCTGCGCGCCGAGCCGAGCTCGACGCTGTGAGATCAAGGTGCGTGCATGCACTCACAATGGGATGCGATGGGATCGTCCGGGGCGTGCGATCAGGATGGAAAGAGGGGATATATGATGAGGTGAAGGTGTAATGATATGAAGGCGTGATGAGGTGAAGGTGTGATGAGCAAGGATCAAAATGACGGCTATCGTATTATACGGTCCGTATAATACGGTCGTTTTTTACAGCCAAATATAAAAAAATACGCCGTATTTTTGATAGACTAGTTTTGTGGTGTTTTTTTTTTTTATAGCAATCACAGAAAATAGCTCTACAAGGTTGCGGAAGGTAAACACTAGCCTAGCATAACAACAGAACAGAGTGTTACAATAAGAACTCTACCATTGCCACTACTACCGCCCACACTACTCATTACTCCTACCCTATCCTATCCTTCCCTCTCTCTCTCTCCTCCTCTGACCTGCAACCTCCTCTTTACTCTACTCATCCTCCTCCTCCTCCTTCTCCTCCTCCTCCTCCTCCTCCTCCTCCTCCTCCTCCTCCTCCTCCTCCTCCTCCTCCTCCTCCTCCTCCTCCTCCTCCTCGTCCTCGTCCTCCTCGTCCTCCTCCTCCTCCTCCTCCTCCTCCTCCTCCTCCTCCTCCTCCTCCTCCTCCTCCTCCTCCTCCTCCTCCTCCTCCTCCTCCTCCTCCTCCTCCTCCTCATCGTCATCCGCCTCCTCCTCTTCCTCCCCACTAGACCCGTCACTAATGTCCCAAGGATCCTGACCATTTCGAGCCTTGGTGGGCACCTCCTCCTCCTCCCTTCCACTGCTATTCGCCGCCTCCTCCTCCTCACCCTCTTCCTCTCCCACAGATGCTGCCTTCCTCTTTCCCTTGTTAGGCTTCTTGGCCTTCCCGTTTCTCTTCCTTTTAGCGAACTTAGGCACCTTCTTCTTCCTCTTCCCAATGTTCCCGAAAAGGTCCTAATCAATGGTGCATAGCTGCTCAGTCCCCTCTCCCTCCTCCTCGTCCTCTACTTCCTCTTCCTCTGCTGCTGCTGACGGTTCAATGGTAGACCCTTGCTTGAGGGTGCGGTTGGCCAGATCGGCATAAAGCTTCTCCCTCTCCCGTGATTTCCTATCGAATGCATCCTTGGCCCTCCTGGCGAACGCCACCTCAGTCACGTCCATCATCCTTTTGGCAGTGAGGCGATTACGGTCCCGCCTCTGCACACGTGCAATGGCGGACCAATAGCGTTCCACCTCAGATGACCTGACTGGCTGTGACAGCACCGTCACAGCTAGCCCCATGAGCGCTTGCACTTCCCCCCCGTACATCAGCCACCACTCCGCCTCCGTCAAGCGCCCACTCGCCACCAACACCGTTGCTGCCCAACGGGCGTCATCGGACCCTATCAGCCCCTTTCCCTGGTGGAACTGCGTCAACTGCGTCAACATCAGCGTGCGGTGAGCGACATCCACCCCACGAGCCTGGATCACCGCTTCCGCCCCCAGCCTTACCTCGGGATCGTTATTCACCTCCCCGAGGTACTGATTCCGGGGGTTGAGAAGCCACCCAATAGCATGGAGTGGATTGTGGAGCTGGACGTCCCACCTCCTGGCTATAATAGCCTTGATGGCGGACAAAAATGCCGGCTTGTCCTTGGCCGGCAAGAGAGATGTGCGTTTCAGCATCATTTTGGCTGCACATAGGGAGAACCGGAGTGCACGAGGTGAGTACAATGGGCGGGAAGGGTAGGCAATTCACAGCTTACCTGCCGCCTCTGCCGCATCGTTTGTCTTCACCGTGGCATCTAGCATGAGGCCATAGATCTGGCCCATGACTAGAGCACGCGTGTCAACCACCCGCAACACTTCGTACACGGGAGTCATGAGGCGGAGGACCGCTGTCGCGCAGTCCCAAAAGACCTCATCCAAGAGAAGCAGGCGGACAGCTCGCCCCTCGTCAGACTGTGCCACCGCCACCGCCTCCCACTCCTCACTTATCACCATCTCCTTGAGCGCTCTCTTTACTTCCAGGAAGCGGGTAAGCATGATAACCTGCGTGCCGAAGCGTGTTGCACCGGGTCGCACCAAGGATAATGTGCTAAACAACTCGTGGAAGAGCGTGACGGCGGACGTGCTGCCCTTGACGATCATAACCACCTTGTGCACCTGGTTAAGCACCCGCTTCACTGCACGGATGTGTCCGATGTCGTGAAGCATCAAGTCGAGGACGTGCGCCGCACAGTTGTTGAAGAAAATTGCTGGAAACCCGTCACGAAGGATGTCGGCCGCCCTCCGGTTGTTGGACGCATTGTCCATGACCACTTGGACAACCTTCTTGTCTCCAACATCGGCGATCGACGGAGCCATGGATTGACGGAGTGGCGCTTCCAGAACGCGAACTAGATGCTGCTGCTTCCTCGCGAAGTTTGATGGCGACTTCATGGGCGCACGGCGTCACGTTCTTATCTTTGTCCTTCGGCGTCCCATATATGTGCTCTCCAATGCGTGTTGCATTAGCAGTCACGTATTCGCTGCAGTGTACGCATTTCGCCGTTAAAGCGCCGTCTGGTCCCTTAGCCGTCGTAACGTGCTTCCACAGTGGCGATTTCTGCCTCGCCATGGCGTATGTCCTGACTGGCACGCGGGGTGGTGGAGTACACTGAAGACTAGACTAGAGCTATGCTTTGAATATGTGCAGGAGTGACTAAACCAAGCCCCTAAGTACCTCGTAGTGGAAACTGGGCGTGTTGTGTCGAGTGGGTTTGGGAACAGGTTGAGCTCAAGGGATGTATTATGATTGGTTGGAGAGGTTTCGCGTCGTGTCTTTTGGATGTGTCGCGACAACGCGCGAAAAAAAATATCCGCCGTGCGAAAATGTTTAACGGAAAAAACGAAACGTGGGATCGAATGGGTACCGTTCGCCAAATGTTGGAATGTCGTGACTCGGGAAAATGTACATGTTCCGCTTCGGCGACTGATGCCAACGAGTTGGCGAAACACGTAACCTGCTTATTGGCGTCGCCAAATGCCCAAATGTCGCGACGGGTAAATGTCGTGACATTCGCGACACGGGAAAATAACTCATTCGTGTGTACGGCTGTCAGAGAAATTTGACTTTCGGAGAATCATGCGTGTGAAATGTTGATTTCCGACATACACAGCCTCGGTTTTAAAAGTTCGGTCGAATTATACGGTCGTATTTTTGAACCAAACAAAGAAAACAATAAACCACCGTTTTAAACCGTATTATACGATCGTTTAATACGATTCCGTATGATACGGTATGATTTCAATAATTCGGTCGTAATTTTGAACCTTGATGAGGTCAAGCTGTGTGCAAGGGGTGTGCGATGGATGCATGCAGGCATGGCGGTTCATGCATGCAGCTAGCATTGGTGTGCACTTAACTAGCATTGGTGTGCACTTAGCTAGCATTGGTGTGCGCTTAGCTAGCATTGGTGTGCACTTAGCTAGCATTGGTGTGCGCTTAGCTAGCATTGGTGTGTGCTTAGCTAGCATTGGTGTGCGCTTAGCTAGCATTGGTGTGGGCTTAGCTAGCATTGGTGTGCGCTTAGCTAGCATTGGTGTGCTCACCTCCACCCTCAGTTGAGCAACAAGGAGCTCGCGAACGAGAAGCCGTTGTAGCGCGAGCTCTGTGTGGTGTGGCCATGCCAAGCGGGGCCTGGAGGCCAATACCACAGCGTGCCATGCCAAGCGGGGCATTGTGTGATGAAAGCCGTTGTAAAATCCCGGATGGAAGCCGTTGTAGAGCGAGCTCTGTGTGGTGTGGCCATGCCAAGCGGGGCCTGGAGGCCAATACCACAGCGTGCCATGCCAAGCGGGGCCTGGAGGCCTATACCACAGCGTGCTGTGCCTGCATCGCACCACACGCAGGTCACCGACCTCACCCCCCTGGCAGTGCTGGAGGACACCCTCAGGCACACGCTCTGACCGCCTCCCAGGTTCACGTCGCTCATCCCCTCCTTTATCCCTTCAACCCTCTCCCTTATCTTCTCCGCCACTAACCCAGTTAAGCAACAAGGAAGGGGCAGTATGCGAGAGGGAGGTTGTGGTCGAACGGGCACTCTGTGACCATGCCAAGCGCGGTCTGGAGCCCAACAGCACGGCATGCAAGCACCGCACACAGGTCACCGACCTCACGCGCCTGGCCGAGCTGGAGGCCACGGCGGAGCGTGTCGACACTGACTGCACCCAACTCACCTCTAGCACCTCCTCTTCCCCTCCCCAACCCCCCCTGATCGCCACCCCCTCTCGTATTCTCTCTCCGACTACTCCAGTTGAGCAACAAGGAGCGGGCAGTGTGCGAGAGGGAGGTAGTGGTGGAGCGGGCTCTATGTGACCATGCCAAGCGGGGTCTCGAGGCCAACAACACGGCATGCAAGCATCGCACGCAGGTCACCGACCTCACGCGCCTGGCGGAGCTAGAAGACACGGCGGAGCAGGCGGCGAGGGACCACGAGGAGTGGGCGGCGGAGAGGGAGCGGCTGCGCAAGGAGCTCAAGGCCTGCCGCCCGGCGCGGGCGCACGCAGAGGCGCGGCTGAGGGAGGTGCTGGCGGATGGGACGATTGACTCGCTGGAGCACACCGTGGTGTGGCTGCAGGTACGGGGTGGTGAAGGTTGCAGGTGTTGTTGGGGTGGGGGGAATGCAAATAGGTCGAGTTGACTCAGGGAGGCGAGAGCGCATGTGGATGGGACGATTGACTCGCCAGAGCACACCGTCGTGTGGCTGCAGGTACGTTTTTGAGATTTCTACAAAGCTGCGCAAGCACCTCAAGACGCCTGGCGCGAGCGCATGCAGAGGTTCGGCTCCGCGAAGTTCTGACGGATGGGACGATCGACTTGCTGGAGCACACTGTTGTGTGGCTGCAGGCGGGTGTGGTGCGAGCGCATGCAGAGGCTTTGTGCTCGCGCCACACCCATCGGAAAATGAGCTCATTTTCTTGCTTCTCCGTACCAGACAGCTTTTGGCCTTGCTGTCGTGTTGCTCACCTCCTTATGCGCTCACAATATGCCATGGCATCTTGGCTTTCTTTTCTCATTACCGTCTTTTCCCCACGTCTGCCCCTCGCACGACGAATCCGTTGCTGTGTGTGCTTGCAGGTGCTGCTGGGAGTGCAGGCGTTGGTGCTGCTTGTAATGCTCTCCTTCCTCTTCTTCCTGCTGCTGCACGGTATGCATGCTCTTTGAAACACACTAGAAATCACTAGAAATCACTAGAAATCACTAGAAATCACTAGAAATCACTAGAAATCACTAGAAATCACTAGAAATCACTAGAAATCACTAGAAATCACTAGAAATCACTAGAAATCACTAGAAATCACTAGAAATCACTAGAAATCACTAGAAATCACTAGAAATCACTAGAAATCACTAGAAATCACTAGAAATCACTAGAAATCACTAGAAATCACTAGAAATCACTAGAAATCACTAGAAATCACTAGAAATCACTAGAAATCACTAGAAATCACTAGAAATCACTAGAAATCACTAGAAATCACTAGAAATCACTAGAAATCACTAGAAATCACTAGAAATCACTAGAAATCACTAGAAATCACTAGAAATCACTAGAAATCACTAGAAATCACTAGAAATCACTAGAAATCACTAGAAATCACTAGAAATCACTAGAAATCACTGCACATGAAAAATGGTTTTTATCCTTTGCCATGCCATTCCATGCCATGCCATGCCATGGCGTGCCGTGCCATGCCCTGCCATGACATGCCCCCTTTCTTTGACGCCTTGCTCCTCCATCTCCTTTCCAAGCGTCCCTTCCTATGCAGAGAAGAGCCTATGGTGGGCAGGCAGTGCCAGGCAGCGTAAAACTCGCGGCTGGTGCCAGCGTAATCTTGGCGAGGGAGACTATGTCATGCCCCCATCTTACTCCACCCATGCTACTCTTACTCTATCCTACTCATTCTCTTTTCCACTCCCCCACCTCCCCCTTCAGACCAGAATCCCACAGGGTCCGGTGTTTATGGTGGGTGGCAGTGCAGGCGGCATCCAAGATGCGCCTGGTGCCCGCAGAGGTGGCCAAGGAGACACTGTCCCCACCCATCTCACTCTATCCTACACATCCAATTGCCCACAACCCCACTCCCCTCCCTCACTCCCCAAACCTTTTGCAGAGGAGAAGCCCATGGGAGGGGGCACGTACGGCTGGGTGGCAGTACAGGCGGCATCCAAGATGTGGCTGGTGCCAGCAGAGGTGGCCAAGGAGACTGCATCCCACCCATCCCACTTTTGTCCTGCTCTTCCTCACCCTCTGCTCCACTCCACTCCCTCACTCCCCTAACTTTCGACAGAGGAGAATCCCACGGTAGGGGGCGCGTACGGGTGGGTGGCAGTGCAGGCAGCGTCCAAGATGCGCCTGGTACCAGCAGAGGCGGCCAAGGGAGGCTCAGTCCCATCCACATTACTCATCCACCAATGCACATTCACTCCTCCACACCGTCTGCAGAGGAGAATCCCACGGGAGGGGGCGCGTATGGGTGGGTGGCGGTACAGGCGGCATCCAAGATGCGCCTGGTGCCAGCAGAGGTGGCCAAAGAAACACTCATGAAGGCCTTTGAGGGGCGCAGGCGCACACGTCTGCCCATCGTGCTCACCACTGCTGCCAACTACGAGCCTGACTGTAAGTGGTGGTGATGGTAGTGAATGATCAATGTTGTAAGGCGCGTTGTGAGGAGAGAGAGTGAGAGACGCTCGTGAACGCGTTTGAGGGACGAAGGCGCACACGTCTGCCCATCGTGCTCACCACTGCTGCCAACTACGAACCAGATTGTGAGTTTAGCTGACTGACAGTAACCCGCAGGAGCACCACCTTGTCTGACTACCAGTGGTATGGTAGCAGCTACAAACTGGACCGTGACTGCCTTTACCGTGCCTGTGAGGTTCTGGCATGCCTTGTCAAAACCCATCTTCCCCCTCTTCTTACCGTGCATCTTCTCTGTTATCCTTCTCATGTCCTGCCATCTCTTCCCCGTTCCTCGCCTTCCCTTCTCTCTCTCTCTCCCCCACATCCCCACCTCAACCCCTCTCCCTTCTCGTTTCCTTCTCTCTCGTTCCCCACGCCCACATCCTCTCTGTCCAGCTGGCAGCCCCACATTGGTCTTCCTGCTGGCGCCTGTCAACGTGGCAAGCTCCCGGCGCTTCTCCCTGTTCAACCATTCGGGCGACTATGTGACGCACGCAGAGAGGGCACAGGAGATAGGTGCGTGCATACATGTCCGAATGCACTTGCGTGAACATCTGCGCATGTGTATATTTTGCGTGTGTATATTTTGTGTGTGTATATTTTGCGTGTGTATATTTTGCGTGTGTATATTTTGCGTGTGTATATTTTGTTTTGAGACGTCTCAAAACTACATCTATGCGTGTGTATATTTTGCGTGTGTGTGTGTGTGTGGGTGGGTCTATGCATGTGTGCTCTTGGCGGTGCTATTCCTGTTCAACCGTCGCGCAACTATGTGACGCGTGCTGAGAGAAAGCAGGAGGTAGGTAGGTGCGTGCGTGCGTGCATGATTCAGGCGCACGCTGAGGCGTCCTGAAAATGCGTCGAGTCGCCTCTCACCACCTTTCCCCTTGACCTCTTCCCCCACCCACCTGTGCCAGGTTACTCTCCTTTCCCCCTTGCAGTGGCCAAGGCACTGCCCAAGTCGCGCCTGGTGATGCTTTACGAGGGCTGTGGAGGGCTCTTCACAGAAGTGCCTTAAGAGACCTGCATTGGCACATTGCCTCATCCCTCTCTCTCTCTCTCCCGACATCAGTGGCCAAGGCACTGCTCAAGTCGCGACTGGTGGTGATGCTTTACGAGGGCTGTGGGGAAGCGGGTTGGGGCTTCTAAGGTGCCTCGAACCACATGCATTTCAAGGCACCCTGCACATGTTTCAAGACGTCTCCAACCAACCACACAAACCCGTTCTTCCTCCCCCCTTCTCTCCCTTACTCAAACGTCCGCCTGCCCCATATTTCCCTCTCCCTGCAGTGGCCAAGGCCCTACCCAAGTCGCGACTGGTGGTGGTACTCTATGAGGGGTGCGGGGGGCTCTTCACAGAGGCCACACTGGACTCCCTGCGACTCAAACCAGACAAGGCAAGCTCCGGGCTAAGGTTAAGGGTTGAAGGTTGATGGTCGAGGGTTTTGAGACGTCTCAAAACAAGGCAAGCTCCGGGCTAAGGTTAAGGGTTGAAGGTTGATGATCGAGAGGCTGTGGTTCCTTCTGGTTTACGGTTTACCTTGTCAGGGCTGTGGGGGGCTTTTCAATGTTTCCAAGCCACACGAAGCGTTCCATGCTCTCAGTCAACATGGCAGGCCTTTCTTCAACCATTCGTCCCTTTTCTCTTTCAAATTGCTTCTCTTCATCCCCATGGTTCCTTTTGAGGCGCCTCAACATTCTTTTTCCTTTTTTCAAAATGCTGTTCTTCATTCCCATACCTCCACAAAGGTGGCGTACGAGGTGATTCCCAACGACATGCGTTTCAACAGGAGCCACGAGCCACAAGCTGGTCGTGCTGTGGGTGGATAAGGCGGAGTGGTGCAATTGCCACTCTCAATAAGGGTGTCGGACCTTCCTCAAAGAACACACCCTGATCTCACTTTATCCCTTTGTCCACACAGGTGGCATACGAGGTGATCCCAAAGGACATGGATTTCCCCAAGAGCCACAACCTGGTGGTGGCATGGGTGGATAAGACCGAGGGGGTGTGGTGTGTTGCTGTGGTGCTACTATTCTGTTCCACATGGCAGGCCTTTCTTCAACCGTTCATCTCTTCAAAATTCCCATGCTCATTCCCCACTCTGCACAGGTGGCATACGAGGTGATCCCCAAGGACATGGATTTTCCCAAGAGCCACAACCTGGTGGTGCCATGGGTGGATAAGATGGAGGGGGTGAAGACAACCGACAGTGAGAGGGAGAGCGATCTGTCCTCCGTGATTCGAGCGCAGCCGTGGGCCCAGTACCTGTTGGGGAGGAGTGGGCGGATAGGGCAGGTTCACAGCCAGCTGCTGTAGATGAAATGCCGGAGGGTGCTTTTGAGAATTCTCAAGGGCGCAGTTCTTGCTGGGGAGGAGCAGGATGATAGGGTAAGTGCACAGCCAACTGCTGTGAGAGTGGTGTGTTGGGATGGGCTTTAATTCTTGACTGAGAGTGAAGACGACTGACAGCGAGAGGGAGAGCGATTTGTATTTGGTAATTCGAGCGCAGCCATGGGGTGCAGTAGTATACCTGCTGGGGAGAGCGGGAGGATAGGGCAGATGCACAGCCATTTACTGTCGATGGATGGAATGTGGGCGTGTGTCATCTATCTAGATTCTTTCATGTAATTTTTGTGTTGACAGATCCATTTATGTTTAGCGACACATGACCTGTTTGCTATTTCTAGAGATCTAAATTCCAGTTGTGTGGTGTTTTTTTTTTTTTGCATGAACTGGTTTACAGCTCCACGGAAGAAAAGTAAGAACTATGGCTGTGGTGAATTCGACACCTCTAAAGCGCGTACGCGTCACCGTGCCAGAGCATTCTCTGCCCAGCCATGTCAACCCGAGAACCGCCTTGGGAATGACGGAGAAATGTTCGCATTGCACCCACCCTGTCATCCCTTGGGAATCACGAATTCGCATCACACGTCGATCAGTCCAAGACCTCTTTAGGATGGGTCAGGAGGAAATGCCATACATCCTACCTAAAAGTTCATCGATAGGACGTGTGGTTCGTGGATAACCTTTCTTTCTTGCAAGCAGGGGTTTCGGGGAAATGGTTTCACTCTCGTCTTGACCTGATTACTTGTGTTTGGCCTCGCGTCTCCCCGTCCTCGTTTCTTCGCGACTCCGACGCTGCTCATGGCTCCTACCAGCGCTTCCCCTCTCGCCTTTTCTCGTCCTCTCGTGCAAGTTTCGCCCCCCGCAAGTTCTCTCACCATTCGCTCTCCAATAGCCTCTCGAATCTCTCTCTTCGTCCCCACGCCCACTGATTCTCGCTGTAGTTCCTCTCCGGCTCGCTGTGTAAACTGCAACTCACGGGCACCCTTAGTTTTTCCACAAACAAATCAGCGTCACGCTGTTTCGTCCAGCTCAGTTTCTGCTCGTCACCAGCCCCTCTTCAACCGCTCTCCAACGCCCTTGCGCCACGTGTCTAGTTCATCGCAGCTCACATCCGTCTCTTGCGCTGCTGCTGATGCTGATGCTGCCGGTGCTGCCGCAAAGGGCGGGAGCGAGGTAGAGAAAGGAACGATGATGGACCGCGGAAATGACGATGATGCTGACGTCATCATGGCTCCTGATGTTCGATTGGCTCCAGAGGCACGAATCCGTCCCCATATGAAATCTTCGACTCATATAATCATTGCAAATTTACAATGATTTGTTTTCGTCGGGTTCGCCATGCAGTCACCTCATAGATGTCCACCTCGTATCTCATGATTCGATAAGCAACCTCTGATTGTTCATCATGCGGATAATCTGGACATTGTTTTCATCTTTCACCAGATTCCCCTTCTAATTTCACGATTGCAGATTCACCTTAGTAACAGATTCATCTTCACTAATCAATCCCTAATTCCCCACTCCATCCCCCATTCTCTTCCCCCTCCTCACACTACCCCAGATCGCGTACATCCTCCCCCCTCCCCCTGAGGACCAACCCACACCAGATACCACCTCCCCCTCTCCCTCCTCCCCTCCCTACCTCCTCCTCGTCGCCCCCGGCGGCTTCATCCCCGCTCTCTCCTACCTCCCTGTCATCCGCGCTATAAGATCCGCTGCCCCCTCCTCTCTACGCACGCGCCTGTGGGTGGCCGTACTGAAGGAAACTACCGCATTGGATCCCGAGAAAGGGAGAGCGTGGGCGCGGGACGGGTATGAGGCGGCGGTAGCAGCGATAAAGGAGATGGGTGCGGATGTGACAAATAGGGGCAGCACCTCGCGCGTGTTTGTGCTGGGACACAGGTGAGTTGACTTGACTTGTATGTCGAGTCCTGAGTTGACTTTCCTGTTGAATTTTTCGTTGCATTTTGAGCTGACTTTTGAGGCGCCTCAAATTGCAGTTGCCTTTCTCGTTGACTTTCTTGTTGCCTTTCTCGTTCACCTTTTGAGCCGACTTCTGAGTCGACTTGTAAGCTGATTGACATCTGTGTGACGCGAGCTTTGCCACAGCCTGGCCTCCTTTTCATCGGAGCATATCACACATACTGTTCATCAACCAGTGTTCAGCACACACAGAACTTTCCAGTCCTTTGTGTAGTACACACGTTTCTGGGGAGAGGCCTCCTCCAGGGAAGAAACTTCTCTCCCTTTTCTCCCCCGCCTGCCTGCCCCGTTCCCTCTGCTCACCCCCCACCTACCTACCCAGCATCAAAGCCTTTTTGACTACCTCAGTCGATCACGAATGCCACAATACTCTCTTCCTTTCCTTCAAGGAAATCCTTTATTTTTTCCTTCTGCTCCCTCCCATCTGCCCGCATCTGAGCCTTTCTCATGACAGCAGTGGAGCGAGAGGCCTGCCTGGGTCCCATCTCATGGGCATCTGAGCCTCACACAGTGATTAAGAAATTACCCTCCCTCCCCCCCCCACCCGCTACCAGCATCGGAGCCGCGTCATGACAGCAGTGGTGTGAGAGGCGTGCCTGACCCTCATCCGCAATGGTGCCTCACACACTCATCAAGAAACCACTATCTCTAGTTTTGAGACGTCTCAAAACGAGACGTCTCAAAACCACACTCATCAAGAAACCACTATCTCTAGTTCCTCTCCCCTTATTTCCCCCCAAACCTTCCCCTCTCCCACTCACCCCCCACCAGCATCGGGGCGTTTGCCATGACAGCAGTGGTGAGAGAGGCGTTGCTGGCGCTCATCAGCATCGGCGCGTTTGCCATGACATCAGCATCGGCGCCTCATACAGTGCTCAAAGAAACCACTCTCTCGCTCCTTCTCCTTGCGCCCTTAACCCTGCCTGACCCCGACCAGCATCGGATCATTTCTTATGACAGCAGTGGTGCGAGAGAAATGCCTGGCGCTCATCAGCATTGGAGCCTCACACAACAGCCTAGAGACCTCCTTCCTGCAATTCCCAAGGCCCACGCTCACCATTCTCGGTGACAGGGACGGCCAGGCTCCTCCCATTGCTATGGCACTGGCAGTCAAGGAGCTGGACCCTGGATCCTCAGGTGCCCCAGGTGATTTTTCAGGTGATTCTTCAGGTGGTTCTTCTGTTGCTGCTGATGCACCTGGCACGACAGCAGCAGCGCTGGGGCCACTGCTGTCCATAGTGCAGAAACCGTTTGTGATTATAAAGGGCATGAATCATGCGCAGGGGGGGAACGGGGTGGTGAACCGAGAGAGGGGCGACCTGGACGCGTCTCGACCAATCAAGGAGGTGCGGGAGGAGATTGGGCGGCTGGTTTCGGCGTTTATGCTGCTGCACCTGCACTCGGGGAACGGCTGGGCTCCGATGCTGTTGGCGGGTAGGGAGGGGGTTAGTGGAGGGGTGGGAGGGGAGGGAGGGGAGGGAGGGGAGGAGGAGCATATGGCTGAGACACAGCGTAGTGCGGTGAAGGTGCTGCAGCGGGCTGTGGAGTGGTCGTTGGAGTACCTGCGACCAGTGTGGAAGGCCCTGGACGTGGAAAGGGGCGAGCCTCACCATGTGCTGGTCAGTGCTCTCCTTCCTTCTCCCTTTGGTTCTGTCAATTGCGGCCATGTGGCTTGCCTTAGAAAGGCAGGGGTTTGATTGCATAGCCTGTAAGCATGCGCCCTTGCGTCGTGAGAGGTGTTTGAGGATTCTGAAAGGTCCGTTACTCGCTGCTAATTCAATAGGGTTATGACGAATGTATGCGTGTTTGCTTGCCTTGGGGTGCCTCGACTCTAGAATTCTCGCTTACAGTTCACCTCACCCCTCCTTCCCTCTCCTTCACGCCCAAACCTTCTTCCCCTTCGAGTCCGTCCCCTTCCATATCGTATACCTTGATCCCCCACTCTGTACCCATCTATATTGGAGTGACTTTTGAGAATTCTCAAAAGTCCTTCCATATCGTATACCTTGATCCCCCACTTTGTACCCATCTCGCCATCCTCTCCCACTCCTCACCGCACATCCTCTTCCCCTCTCCCACCCCTTCCAACAGGACTCCATCCTCTCCCACGCAGGCCTCCCCACCACTCTCCCCTCACACACCATCTTCCACGCCTTCCTGCCCGACTTCCTCCAGTCCAAGCCCGCCCTCCTCCTCGCCTCACAGGAAAGCCCGTTCCAAAGTAATTCCTCTCTGGGGGGCTCCTCTCAGGACGGCTCCTCCTCGCCTCCTACCGTGCTGCAGTCTGCATGGCTGCAATCGCAGGGTAAGTTCTGGCCGTGCCAGCCGCACACCCTGTGGGTCAAGTGCAAGAGCGCTGCTGCTATCAGGGAGGCTCTTGGCTTGGAGCTTGCTGGGGTAGAGGGAGACGCAGCAGTGACGCCTGTAGGAGCAGCAGGAACAGAAAAGCCCTCTCTTGAAGCCGCGTTTTCGGCATGGGCGGCAGCGGCGCCAATGGAAGTGCGCCACGTGGCGGCGTCGATCAACGAGGCAGCGATGCAACGGGCTCTGGAGATGGTGCACCCGCATGCGAGAGAGAGGTATGAGAGAGACGGGAAGAAGGTGGTGTTTGGGGAGGACAGGATCGTGCCTATCGATCAGTGGATCAAATCTGATGTGGAGTGGTCATTTAAGGAGGGCATGGAGGGAGATAAGGGGGATGATAAGGAGGGAGGAGTAATTGGAGAGAGAGGGGTTGTGGTGGTGAGGTCTCCTGTTTTGATTACTGCTGATGAGATTCTTCCTGTGGAGTTGAAGGGGAGGTTTGGGGGAATGCACTATGTGAAGGTGATCACCGTAGCTCGTGCAATGCAATGGATTATGCTGGATGCTTTTAGGTAAGAGAGGTAAACGTATGCTGGCTTTCATATGCCCTCGTGCTGGGTCTGACGCTGTAAATGCATGTACATATGTAATAGGAAGTATGATAGGAAGCTTCGTGGTTCATCTATGCATAGGTGGAAATGTCATTGTGGACAGAGTGCTACCCTAGCTGGACGGTTCAGTGCAAGAATAGTTGGATTTGTATGCTAGCAGAGGTTGACTATTGATAACAACAAGGGGCAGAAGAAAAAGTACCATAAATACACCATCAGTGGGGATATACCTAATTTTGTGTGTTTTTTACGTTTGTTACCGTGCGCCTGAGTTTTATAATCAGGCGTATGTTTAGCAACGCCAAAATGCCCTGCGCCGATGTATGTGGGCGACGGCTTGCGAATTGCTGTGGTAGAATCAGTTTACTACCGACACAAATCCCTTTCCACACCCACACCCGCTACTTCTAAGTCAGAATCGCTGTGAAACTCGCAATCATCTTACTTGCTGCTGTTGTGCCACTCGTCGGTGTTTCTGCATCACCCACTCGTAAAAGCCTCTCCAGCGTGCTTGCACGGTTTTTTTAGAGTTCTATGCAACGCCACGCGTCTTCATTGCCGCGATTGTCCGTCAATTGCGCTGCTGCTGCTGCTGCTGCTGCTGCTGGTGTTTCTGGCGTTAGCCGTGGGAGCGAGAGAAAGGAAAAGAAACGATGACGGACCGTGAGAAGGATAGGAACGTCGCTGATGACGATGATGATTCCATCGTTGCTACGCAGGTGCGACATTTTATCCAGGTGTGTTTTGAGTCGACTCAAAACACACCTGACGACAACAATGATACTCAGGTGCACATGGCTCCACACACACGAATTCATTACCCCCAAATTGTCCAACAATTGCAGATTTGGCAGATTCGCATTCATTATTTCATTGCAGAATCACCTCGCAGTCACCTCGTAATAGTCGTACGCACCGTATGATTACACATGATAGAAAGTTCGTATCAGCTTTCGCCTGGTAACAGATTCTCCTTTCCGTATCAAAATCACCTTATCATCAGTCAATGACCTATTCGCCTTAAACTTAATTTTCGATTCTCAAAACCCACTTCTCTTCCATCCCCCCTGTCTCTTCCGTGCACATACACCACTCCAGCTCGCATACATCCTCCCCCCTCCCCCTGAGGCCCAACCCACCCCAGATACCACCTCCCCTCTCCCTCCTCGCCTCCCTACCTCCTCCTGGTCGCCCCCGGCGGATTCATCCCCGCGCTCTCCTACCTCCCTCTCATCCGCGCTATAAGATCCGCCGCTCCCTCCTCTCTACGCGCGCGCCTGTGGGCGGCCGTACTGAAGGAGATCACAGTGCCAGACCAGGAGAAAGGGAGGGCGTGGGCTCGGGACGGGTATGAGGCAGCAGTGAAAGCGGTCAAGGAGATGGGCGCGGATGTGGGCAGTGGCGGGTTGGGCACTCCGCGGGTGTTTGTGCTGGGACACAGGTGTGTTGTGAAGGGGGGCATGGGCCTGGGAGTGAAGATGCTAGTCGGGCACAAGTGCTGAGTGAAGATGCTAGTCCGGCAAGGGTGCAGCGGTTGTGAATGAAGGAGATGGGCCAGAGGGGGTTGGGGGGTGGATGCGTCCCGCTTGTCGCTCAACGCTCAACTTAAGACGCTCAACAACAACACTGAACGCTCAGGTTGTGGCTCTCTCTCTCTCACCTCTGCCTCTCTCTCTCCTCTGTCTCATGAACAAGCAACAGACTCTCACGCTGCCTGCCTCTGTTTCTCTTCCCCTCCCTCCAGCTTCACCTCCCCATTCAGCGTGGGAGCGTTGCTCATGACCTCAGTGGTGCGTGAATCGTCCCTCGCCTTTATCCAGATTGGAGCATGGTACAACTCCCAGGAAACTTCGCTGCTGCAATTCCCAAGGCCCATTCTCACCATCCTCGGTGACAGGGACGGCCAGGCTCCCCCCATCACCATGGCGCTAGCAGTCAAGGAGCTGGACCCTGGATCCTCAGGTGTTTTTTCAGGTGATTCTTCAGGTGGTTCTTCTGTTGCTGCTGCGCCTGGCAGCGCAACAGCAGCAGCGCTGGGACCACTGCTGTCCACTGTCCAGAAACCGTTTGTGATTATAAAGGGTATGAATCATGCGCAGGGGGGGAACGGGGTGGTGAACCGAGAGAGGGGCGACCTGGATGCGTCTCGACCAATCGAGGAGGTGCGGGAGGAGATTGGGCGGCTGGTTTCGGCGTTTATGCTGCTGCACCTGCACTCAGAGAACGGCTGGGCGCCGCTGCTGCTGGCAGGCGACAGAGGGTTGAGAATGGGAGTCAATGCGAGCAGTGGAGGGGAGAAATTGGAGGAGAGTGCGGTGGCGCTGCTGCAGCGGGCTGTGGAGTGGTCCTTGGAGTACCTGCGACCAGTGTGGAAGGCCCTGGAGATGGAGAGACACGAGCCTCACCACGTGCTGGTCAGTCCGCCCCTTGCCTCTCCCTTGCATGCTTGCTTGCGCTTCTCCTCAACCCCAATCCTTTGCTACCTCCCATTTCCTTTGTACCTACCCCCCCTTCCCCCTCTCCCCCTCCTCCCACAGTGCCCATCCTGACACCCTCTCTCACACACACTGCCCACTACTCTCTCTCACTTCACTCCTCCTTCCCACTCCGGCTCCCAATAACAGGATGCGATCCTTTCTCCCAAGGCAGGCCTATCAACCTCTCTCTGTTCGCACTTTTGAGGCGCCTCAAAAGTCGTTCTGAGGCTCCTTAAAAACAGGATGTGATCCTTTCTCCCACAGATAGGCCTATCAACCTCTCTCTCTTTGCACTCCACTTCCCTTGCCTTCTTATCACTCTCCATCCATCCACGTTCCCCTCCTCTCCCACCCCTTCCAGAAGAAGGAATTGTCTCCCACGCAGTCCTACCAACCTTTCTCTCATTCCTTCCCGCCATGCTTCACTTAACCATTCCCTCCTGCTCCCCACCTTCCGCACCTTCCCCACCTCACTCCGCCATTCTCTCCCACGCAGGCCTTCCCCAGCCCTCTCCTCACACACCATCTTTCATGCCTTCTTACCACACTCAACCCATTCACGTTCCCCTCCTCTCCCACACCTTCCCACAGGACGCCATTCTCTCCCACGCGGGCCTACCAACATCGCTCCCCTCGCACACCCTCGTCCATGCCTTCTTACCAGACTTCATCCGCTCCAAGCCTGCCCTCCTCGCCTCTCGGAAAGAAAATCTTTCAGGCCCCCGGCCAGGAGGGCTCCTCTCAGGAAGGCCTCTGCCAGGAGGGCTCCTCTCAGGAAGGCCCCTCACAGGAGGGCTCCACCCAATTCTCCTCTCCTCCAACCGTGCTCCTCCTCCAGTCCGCATGGTTGCAGTCTCAGGGTAAGCTCTGGCCTTGCCAGCCGCACACTCTGTGGGTCAAGTGCAAGAGCGCTGCTGCTATTGGGGAGGCTCTTGGCTTGCAGCTTGCAGGAGCAGGGGGGAACGCAGCAATGACGCTGGTGGCTCCAGCAGCAGCAGCTGCAGAAGTACCAGCAGCACAGCAGCAGAAGAACCAGCAGCAGTGGAAACAGGAGTGAAAGCAGCAGCAGGAGTACCAGCAGCAGCAGCAGCAGGAGCAGCAGGGGCGGGAATACCTTCTCTTAAAGCTGCATTGATGGCTTGGGCAGCAGCAGCGCCAATGAGAGTGCGCCACGTGGCGGCGTCAATCAACGAGGCAGCGATGCAACGAGCTCTGGAGATGGTTCACCCGCATGCGAGAGAGAGGTACGAGCGAGAGGGGAAGAAAGTGGTGTTTGGGGCGGATAAGATAGTGCCAAGTGATGTATGGATCGCAGCTGATGTAGAGTGGTTGTTTGGGGAGGGAGAGGAGGGAATGGGGGGAGCAACGGAGGGAGGGAAGGGATTCAAGGAGGGGATGAAGGAGGGGGATAAGGAGGATGAGGAGGAAAGAGGTGCAGATGGAGGGAGAGGGGTTGTGGTGGTGAGGTCGCCTGTTTTGATTACTGCTGATGAGATTCTTCCCGCAGAGTTGAAGGAGAGTTTTGGGGGAATGCACTATGTGAAGGTGATTACTGTAGCTCGTGCTATGCAATGGATTATGCTTGATGCCTTTAGGTAAAAGGTGAACGCATGTTGGCCTTTTCTTGCACTGTGTGTTGGGCCTGATACAGCAAATGGCTATTTTACATTTTGCATATAGATATGTAATCTGGTAATTTCAAAATCACATGCTGTGATCAATTGATTAAATTTACAGGACTATTTTCGTCAGAGAGGATATGGGTTCCTAAAACAGCCAAACCAGCTAAATCATTTTAAAGTGCGACACAGCACTTTTTAACCACATCTACTAGTCGTTTTCCTTTCTGTACTCTGAGTGCTTGTTGGTAGCCTGCAGCAGTTAATAAAGCAGAAGCGCAGAGTACAATTCTCGGCACTCCCGTGATGGGCGGTGTTCGGCAGCCAGGGGAGAGGCTTTGAGGAAGATCAAAATGCCGGGCCACCAGGTTCGAGATTGTCGAACCAGGCAAAAAATCCCGGTCAGAACAAGAAAAATGTGAAAAACCCACCAAACCTCGGCCTTCAAGGCGCCGCGAACCCCAAGCTAGAGTGTCGCCCGCGCCGCATCCCCTCCACAACCTCCCCCTTTGCGGAACTTCTCCGCCCTAGAGGGGGGGGATCCAAATCTGATTCCCTTTGCTGCCGCTCGAGAATGAGGAATCCAGTTCTGATCCCGCGTACATTCCCCAACCAGACTTCACATTACCCTGAAAAGGAATGCAAAAAACAACCTGTAGCCTAAACCAGCCTCCAACGCTGTAGTGTAAAACTGTGCCAAAATTGTAGATAAGAAACGCATAAGTAATTCGACCACCATTTCTTCTATAGTGTCCGTTGGTCCTAAGTGATTAAGAGGGTCGAAATGTAGGTTTAGTGAAATAGGTTCCGTCATTTGCGCTAACCCTAAAATGAGGCGTTCAACTGCCAAATCTCGAGTTGTCTATGTTTGTAATCTTCCTGTGTGGTTGTGACGGGCCCAACGCCCACACTTCCCTTGTGTGTCGCCTTTATTTTTGAGATTCATTATTTACCCTTTTCACTCATCCGTACAGTGTTTCGGGCTTTTTTATTTGGCGTGCGATAACCCTTTTCTAGGGTGGAAGTTTCTCGTCCTGTCCAACGCAGCTTCGACCCCCCTCCGCCATCTCGATATTTTCCATCCGCGAGCTCCCCCCGTCCCCCCGTTTGCGCCAGGACCGAAAGCCTGGGGTCAACTCTGGTCCTCCTAGAGTTGACCCATCCAACTAGGGGCGAGGCTGGCCATTTCGGATCCCTCGCCCCAACCCCCCCTGTATCCCCTGGCCTGCCGAACATGGCCATGGACTCGAGTTAGGACGCGTCCCCTTTTTCCGACCCTGGCTCGTTCGGCGGTATTCACACCGATCGCAAGATTGGCAGGCGATCGGTGTGTCTGGCTGCAAATCTGCAATTACACCAGGTCGCGCCGCACCAACACACGGGAAGCCTGGGAAATTTGAGGAAGTAGAGGCCAGCAAACACAGGTCGATGCGTTGACAGGGGCACATCGATCGCCTAAACCGCCGTGGACATGTTCGTGACGTCATGATCACTGTATACTCGCCAACACACACGAACTCTGGTAACATGGTCTATCACGACGCTACAGCTGCTTCGTACCCTCCCAAGATCGATCCTGGGGACCCAGGATCGGAAAAAGGTGATGCGTCCTTAGTACAGCGACGAACGATGCAATGCTAGCCATTGCCAAAGTTTTGTGTGAATCAAATCTGATTCTGGCATTAGCCAGTGAGCCCACCCTGACATTAGCCTTACCAGCGATGGTTTGAGCAGCGCGGCGGCTCGTAAGCTTCTTAAATTGCGGCCGCGTGGAAAGCGATGATTCGAGCAGCGGCGGCGTCTGGCGAAGGAATTGCGTCTCGGAGGAACTGAGCCTCGGCGTGTTGTTGCTGATTCACTCAAGGCGAGGCAAGGACCCGTGTCAGAGCCAGCGCCGCTGTGCGTGTGGATTATCGTTGCTGGAAGCATTCGCGGATCAGCAGGAGGAATGCACGACGTGCCGCAGTGCACAATCATCGCGGCCGACACGTCAAATATATGGTGCGCCGTTTGTTCGTCGACTTATATGTCACTCCCGTCCTGCTAAAAAAGAGTCGATTCGTTTTTCTTCTTATCTTGCCTTGATCGCTGCAATAACAAACGCCTTTTTGGATCCGACATATTTTAAGTTGACATGTAAGGTTCCCCCCCACTCCCGTCCCCCCCATTCCCCACCCCCTTTCCCCCCCATTCCCCACCCTCCTTTCCCCCCCTTCCCCTCCCTTTCCCCCCCTTTCCCCCCCTTCCCCCCCCTTTCCCCCCCTTCCCCCCCCTTTCCCCCCCTTCCCCCCGCCTTTCCCCCCTTTTCCCCCCTTTCCCCCTCTTCCCCCCCCTTTCCCCACCTCCCCCCCCCTTCCCCCCCCTTTCCCCCCTTTCCCCCCCTTTTCCCCCCCTTTCCCCCCCCTTCCTCCTCTCCCCCATCTTCGCCTTTCCGTCTCTCCCCCGCTGCGCTCCCCGGCGCCACTTCAGCTACCCTGCGTGTGCGCGCTGCACGCGCTCGCTGTCGGAGTACACGGTGAGGGGCCAGCAGGTCGCCACGTGGCGCCCGTGGCCGTGCAGCGAGTGCCAGCTGGCAGACCGCTCCGCGAAGCCGCTTGAGACCATCGAGCGGCAGACACATCTGTTCAAGCTCAAGGTGACTAACGACGCTGTGATTATGTGAAAATGGATGGCGCTATATTGGAAGGCATGACAATGGATAAAGCATTATAACAGACTTTTCTTTCCTTTCCTTTCCTGACATACAAGACCAGGCCAATTCCATCTTCCATGTGTCAGTCGCCCCTCTCCCTTCCCTTCTCATCTACCCCCCTTTTCCCACCGTCCCTCCCTCTTTCCCTCTTTTGCAATACTCCCAACACACGTCATGGCAGCTGTTGCTGGTGATCCCTGGGGAGTCCCACCCAGTGTCTGGTGTGGCGTTTGACAAGGCTCTCAGCCCCTCTCCTCTTTCCCCACTTCCCCCTCTTCTCTCCACACGGCAGCTGCTGCTGGTGCTACCAGGGGAGTCCCACCCAGTGTCTGGTGTGGCGTTTGACAAGGCGGCTCAGCCCCTCTCCTCTTTCCCCCCCTCCCCCTCTTCTCTCCACACGGCAGCTGCTGGTGGTGCTACCAGGGGAGTCCCACCCAGTGTCTGGTGTGGCGTTTGACAAGGCGGCTCAGCCCCTCTCCTCTTTCCCCCCCTCCCCCTCCTCTCTCCACACGGCAGCTGCTGCTGGTGCTACCAGGGGAGTCCCACCCAGTGTCTGGTGTGGCGTTTGACAAGGCGGCTCAGCCCCTCTCCTCTTTCCCCCCCTCCCCCTCTTCCCTCCACACGGCAGCTGCTGCTGGTGCTACCAGGGGAATCCCACCCAGTGTCCGGTGTGGCGTTTGACAAGGCGGCTCAGCCCCTCATAGGCTGCACCGGATCCCAGTGGACCGCCTTTGTTCGCAAATACCCCCATGCAGGTCCGTTGCGCTTCTTGCTTCTTAGCGCTTTTGTAGGTGCGTGAGAAATAGATTTTCAGTGGGCACGCTCGCTAGAACTTCAAGGCACGTTAATGCGCAACTCATACTGCACTTTCTTACAATTTTTTTTTTTTTTTTTTTTTTTTTTCTGTTTTTATTTCCTTTCGTTCTCTTTAATCCCATCTTTGCATCTCTCCGCTCTTCCATCTCCCTTACATCTCTTCCCTCTCGTCTCTCCGCTTTCCGCTCTCCGCTCCCCCATCCTACTCCCAGCATGTGTGTTGTCGGAGCTACTGTGTGGCATGGCATGCCGCGTGCAGATGAGGGACGCCGTGCGGGGCACTGGCCACGAGACCAGGCTCACTCGCATCGTCCCACTCCCCCTCCAGCACACGCTGCACTCCCCTGCTCTCCCTCCGCACTCGCTCCCACACACCACGGAAGCGTCTAGGGTGCCATTGCCTTTTGCACAGCTTCAGCTGCTGTTTGGGGAGGCCGAGCAGGGTGGATGGGGAGAGGATGGAGAGGGGCAGGGTGGATGGGGAGAGGGTAGCGGGGGACAGGGTGGAAAGGGGTCAAACATGTGAAGTGGGTGTGGTTATGCTTGGGAATGGCAGGTGGATGCATCATGTGTCTCCCCGGCGTGGTTCTTGAGCCAGTATGTGGTGGTTATGCAGGAGAGTGTGTGATATTTCAAGGTGCACAAGAAGCTCGCTCAAGAATTGATTGGTATGTGTGATGTGATGTGATCCATCCAGCATCTTGTTTCAACCTTCTGCATATGACTCCTGGTTTTCTGCCTTCTTCCCATTCTCTTTTTCTTCCCCCCCTTTTCCTCCCTCCCTCTTTGCAACTTCAGATTTTCCTCTGGACTGATGAGGAACGGATCAGTTGTCTCATGAATACCTAGAACTCAGAAGGATCCACCGTGCTAGTGATTCGAACTCATTATTGCGTTGTGGAGATCAATCTTTGATGAAATCAACTATCATTATGGTATTTGTCTGGCTGATGCTAACCTGTTTAGCATTTGGCACTATCATTAGAAGAACCCATCCTTCTGGAGGATTCAACCTTAACGTCAACGAGCTAGCCTACATCGCGTTTGTTCCTTGGGATCACCGACCCTGGAATATATATTGCACTGCCTGCGTCAGCAGGCAGTGCAATGAGTCAGCGGGCAAGGAAAAAAACAAAACCCACTCCGAAGGCATGCCATTCGGGAGGCATCAACCCTAGAATTTTAGGGTTGAGGCTCCCGAATGGCATGGAGTCCGAATGGGTTTTAGTTTTTTGTTGTATCTGAGCGCTACCGACGCTACCAAGTGCAATATATTGGTGTATCTGTTGCCTTTCTGAACTACTTGTTGACGTCGCGTCCAGGACGCCATTCCTGAAAAGTGGACCCTAGATTCTACTCTGAAAGACAATAATTCAGGGTCAGAGATGAAACGTTTCGACATTTTTGTGTTTCCTCACCAAAAGTCCAGCCACGTCACAACTGCATTCGATTCAAAAAGTCTGACGAAATACGACCTCAACCGCATTCATCCCAACAGCATCTGCTTCTTCCTGCTGATCTACCTTTGTCACTCCCTTTCCTCACCTTTATTTCTTCAGACTAGCTCCATGTCTGGTGGTTTGACAAGTCAAGCCATGTACAGTTTCTTAGCCTAGCGTTCTAACGTAGAACTTTCGAGTTAGGTCAGAAGTGATGGAGGATGGGTAACGTCGATGCCTGGTAACCGTGTTGCTTCGTCATTGCCGAATTCGCAGAGCGCTTTACCGCATTCCTGACAGCGTCCCCTTTCACATAACACCCAGAGCAGGTGCCTGATAGGCTGCTCTGGATACAGTACAGCTACATAAGTTATAAAGTAATTTGTTTCGAATATCGCAGATAGGCGTCGCGGCACGGTGCGTCTTTTGCCTGGTAGTAGATACGATCAGCTTGTCCTGATAGTTGACTTTTGAGTCGACTCAAAAGTCAACGCACATAGGCGTCGTGGCACGGTGCGTCTTTTGCCTGGTAGTAGATACGATCAGCTTGTCCTGATAGTTGACTTTTGAGTCGACTCAAAAGTCAACGCACATAGGCGTCGTGGCACGGTGCGTCTTTTGCCTGGTAGATACGATCAGCTTCACGCCAGAAATGGCCGCTTCTCGCATTCACGTTGATTTTCCTCTTCAAGTCCTCATTCTTGTGGCTGTAACACTCGCAGTGTCGCGTCCTCTTGTAGCGGGGACAAATGCACCAGCCTCTTTCCCTGCGGATGCGACTCGGGAATATTTGCGTCCGCGCCTGTCCGTGGCGCACAGGAAGCTCGCCGCCGAGACTGGCGCCGAAGCTTTCGCCGAAATTCCTGCCGTGACGTCCGGCGCAACTCGCGCCGCGAAATCCGGTCATTCCGCCGCAGCAGCAAGAGCAGAGCACGCCGCGGAGGCATCGACCGATATCACAGCCGGTTATAATGCGAATGCGGAGTTTCCGGGCCGTCGAGACACGACAGCAACACAAAAGGGAGCAGATGCAACTGAAGCTGCTGTCGTGGACACGTGGCAGCGTGTAACTGGCTCCGCGGCAGTGGGAGGGGATCGGCGAATCATGGCAGAGGGGGAGGCGCGAAAGGGAACTGTCTCACGGTGGTTTGGACTGAAGCGAGATAGTGGAGAAGGGAAGGGGCGGAAGGAGACGGGTGCGACGGGAACTGGGACAGGTGAAGGGGAGAGAATGGGAGTGAGGGAGGGAGTGAGGATGGGGGTAAGGATGGGGAGAGGTAATGCTGCGGGTAAGGGTGAGAAGGCAGAGGGAGAGGCGGAGGAGGAGGAGGAGGAAGAGGAAGAGGAGGAAGGGGAGGAGGAAGGAAAGGAGGGGGTTGGGAGTTTAGCCACGGGAGGGAGCGGCCTTGGGAGTATCCGGGAAGGTGGTGGCGGAGTGAAAGCTGGAGGTGATGGTGTTGAAGATGATAATAGGGGGGGGTTTGGTGTACGAGGGGTTGCTAGTGAGAGTGGAAAAGGTAAGGCAGAGAAGCAAGAGAGCAAGGCAGCCGAGGAGGAAGAAGAGGACGAGGAGGAAGAAGAAGAGGAGGGAGAAGAAGCGAAGGAGGGTGGGGGAGGAGTGAAACCTAGTGGAGAGGGGTTGTTGGGAAGGACAGGCAATAGGAATTTCAATGACGTTCAAGCAGTCAACTCTGATGCTGTGAGGAGAGGTGAAGTTTCAACGAGGGGGGTGACACTAACGAGGGGTGATGGTGGTCCTGTGTTGACGAACTCGCCGAATTTGAACACAGAGAGAGCAGTGGGAATGGGAGTGGGAGTGGGAAGGCCGGTGGTTGAGGGGACGAAGGGACGGGAGAAGGTGAAGTTAGCAGGGCAGGAGGCGAAGGAAGAGGAGGAAGAGGAGGAAGAAGAGGAAGAGGAAGGGGAAGGGGAAGGTAAGGAGGAGGAGATGGCAGCGGGGAAGACGTCTCAAGGCAAGCAAGGAGGCACGGCCCTTACCACAAGAGGATCTGACGCAGCTGGGACTGCTGCTGTAGCGGCTACAGCTGCTGGCACCGGTAGCACTTTCTCTTCGCTGCAAACTGCTGCTGGTAGTGCGGTGAAGAAGGGGAAAGTGGAAGAGGAGGAAGAGGAGGAAGAGGAGGAAACAGGGACGAAGACGTCTCAAGGCAAACAAGGAGCCACGGCCCTTACCACAAGAGGAACTGACCCAGCTGGAGCTGCTGCTGTAGCGGCTACAGCTGATAGCACTGGCACTGGCAGCTCCTTCTCTCCACTGCAAACTGCTGCTGGCAGTGCGGTGAAGAAGAATGCGGAGGAGGAAGAGGAGGAAGCTGAGGAGGAGGAGGAGGAAGAGGAAGAAACAGGGGCAAGGACGTCGCAGGCAAAGCAAGGCGCCACAGCCCGAGCCACACCCATTACCACAACTGGAACCGACACAGGTGGGGCTGCTGCGGTAGCGGCTACAGCTGCGGGCACTGGCAGCTCTATTTCGCCGATGCGAACTGCTGCTGGCAGTGCGATCAAGGATACGAAAGAGGAAGAAGAAGAGGAGGAGGAGGAGGAGGAAGAGGAGGCAGACGCAGAGGAGAAAACATCAGTAGCCAAGAAAGCATTCATGCCTCGTACCACAGTGGGAACTGACGCAGCCGGGGCTGCTTCTGTGGCGGCTACAGCTGCTGGCACTGGCACTGGCACTGGCATTAGCACTGGCACTGGCGGCTTTGGTTTTCCACTGCAAACTTCTGGACGCAGTGCGGTCAAGAAGGAGAAGGAAAAAGAGGAAGAGGAAGAAGAAGAAGAGGAGGAGGAGGAGGAAGAGGAGGCAGAGGAGAAGACGTCCCAAGCCAAGCAAGGAACTGCGTCTCTCACCGCTACAGGCGCTGGAGCTACTGGCGCTACAGCCGCTACAGCTGGTACAGCTACAGCCGGAGGTGCTGGGAGCTCACTGTACCCCTCGAAGACTGCTGCTGGCAGTGCGGTGAAGGAGGAAGCGGAAGAGGAAGAGGAGGAGGAAGAGGAGGAGAAGGAAGAGGAGGAGAAAGGAGAGATAGGGAGCAAAGCCGGTGCATGGGCAGGAGCAAATGCAGCGAGTGCAGAGAGTGCGGGAGGAGGGGCAGGGACAGCAGCAGGGAGATGGACAGGGACAGGAACAGGGAGAGGAACAGGGAGAGGAACAGGGAGAGGAACAGGGACAGGAACAGAGACAAGGGCAGGGACAGGGGCGACTGAAGGGGTGCAGGAGGGAGATGCAGCAGGTGCAAAAAGCGAAGGAGAGAGGAAAGGTGAGAAGGACGAAGAGGAGGAGGAGGAAGAGGAGGAGGAAGAAGGGGAGGAAGAGAAGGAAGGTTCAGGTGAGGGCATGGTCAAAGGAGTGAAGAGCCGGGCAAGAGATGCCGTTGGTGCTGGTGTAGGTGTTGCTGGTGGTGCTGGTTTTGGCAGCACAAAGGGTGCAGATCTATCCGGTACAGGTGCTACTCGTTTTGAAACGCCTCAGCTCACCAAAGGCACAGAATTGTCTGGTGCAGGTGCGATTGGGAAGGATAAAGAGGATGAGGGAGAGGAAGAGGAGGAGGGAGAGGAAGAGGACGAGGAAGAAAAAGAAGAAGGGTCAGGAGGAAGAGGCACAGCTGCTGTTGATGTTGGAAGAAGTGGGTTAACTGCTGGTGGGGCCTTTCCCGGTGGCACTCTTCCATCTGGCAGTAGCGAATCAGCTTATACGGGAGCAACCAGCAGCTTTGAATCTGGGAGTAGTGGCAGAGGAGGTGGTGGTAGCGGTGGGGATCCTGATGAGGTGGAAGGGACGAGCGTGGTGGGTAAGGGGCCTCCAGAGACCAGCTCTTTTGCTGCTGCGACTGGTGCTAGTGCTGCTACTGCTGCTACTGGTGCTGGTGCTGGTTATACTGGCACTGGTGGTGCTGGTGGTGTTGCTAGTGGTGCTAGCGGTGGTGCTGGTTCGGGTGCTGGTTCCCGTGCTACTTCTTCTGGGTTAGTTTCTGATGGTGCTGGTGGTAACAAGGCAGGGAGGGCAGAAGATGAAGAAGAGGAGGGGAGTGAGGAGGAAGAGGAGGAGGAGGAAGAGGAAGAAGAGGAGAAGAAGAGGGTGAAGGAGAGAGGTGGTGCAGGGGTAACGTCTGGAGGTAAGCTGTTGGGTGGGCGGGCAAGTGAAGGTATGGTTCAGTCCGAAGTGAGTAGATCGGGAGTGAGAAAAGGGGGATTGAGTAAAACAGGAGTGACTAAGTCAGGAATGACCAAGGCGGGAGTGACAGCAGAAGAAACGGTGGCGAAGGGAAAGGAAGGTGCAGAGGAGAAGGAGGACGGAGAAGAAGAGGAGGAGGAGGAAGAAGAGGAGGATGGGAAGGAGGAGGATGTAGAGAAGCCAAGCACAAAGAAAGCGCTGGGTGGAAAGGGAGAAGCATCAGAAGGTGAATCGGAATCGGAGCGTGTATCTCCGTTTACAAAATCCGGTTCTACAGTTCCGTCAGTTAAGGGTGGTGGCATGAGCCGTGGTGTGACTGTAGGAGGAGGTGATTCAAGGGGTGTGGGGGGAGATGGTGGCAGTGGAAGAGATAGGCTGGAGAAGGGAGGGATGGGAGGCGAGGGAAATGTGAAAGGGGAGGGCGAGGAGGAGGAAGAGGAGGAGGATGGAGAGGATGCGGAAGAGGATGAGGAGAGTGCAGGAAAACTGAAGGATAAGGCAAAGGCTGGTGGTGCTTCAGGTGCGGCTTCAGCTGCTGGTTTTGATGATGGCTTGGCGAAGCCTGGGGCAACTGACGGCTTAAAACGGACTCAAACGAGAGATCCACGATCAAGTGCTAGTGCAAGTGGAGGTAAGGACACGGAGGCAGCAGCTAAGAGTGGTAGCAGTAAGGCAGACGATGAGGAGGAGGGTGAGGAGGAAGAGGGAGAAGAGGGGGAAGAGGAAGAGGAAGGGAAGGCAGATGGGAAGCAGGAGGAGAGAGTTGGGACGAGGGAGGAGGGAGTGAGAGGTGAAAGGGAGGGTGGAGGGGGGAGTGGAGAGTGGGGGAAGAAGAGTGGAAGGGGGGAGGTGGGGGATGAAGGCACGAGTATGGAAGGGGTTGGGCGAGGGGGCAGGGATGGTGCTGTTGGTGAGAGAGGGGAGGACGAAAGGGCAGCGACAGGTGGGATTCCTGTGAGAGGAAAGGGGGTTGGAGGGCAGAAGGGAAAGGAGCAGGGTGAGGAAGAGGAGGAGGAAGGAGAGGAGGAGGGGGAGGAAGAGGGAGAGGAGGAGGAGAAGAAAAGTGTGGGGAGAAAGGCTGGTGGGGGAAAGGTGAAAAAGGGAGCGTCAGGAGGAAGAGGAGAAGCAGGGGAGGAGGAAGAGGAGTCTCAGGAGAGGGGTGACGAGTCAGAAGGGAAGGAAGAAGAGGAATCAGAAGGGAAGGAAGAAGAGGAATCAGAAGGGAAGGCGTCAATGAGGGGTGGGTTTACAAAGGCAGGGCAGCAGCAGTCGCGGGCAGAGCAGGTGGAGGGAGATAGTGAGGTGAGTGAAGCTGCTGCTGCCGCTGTTGCTGCTTCTTCTGGCGGTGTTGATGGTGCAAGGGAGGGGAAGGTGAGGAGAGGAACTGGTGGAGAAGAGGAAGGGGCGATGGGGGAGCGGAAGGGCGGGAAAGGCAAAGGAGGAAGTACAGGCCAGGATGAGGATGAGAGTGAGGATGAAGTGTCGGAGGAAGAGGAGGAAGAAGACGAGGAGAGTGGTGAGAGGAAGAAGAGAGGGCCAGAGGAGGAAGCGGTTCGCGGGAAGAAGGGAGGGGAGGAGGAGGAAGAGACGGGAAGTGACGAGGAGAGAGAAGAGAAGGGAGACGGGAAGAGAGGTGAGGAGGGTGGGGGCGTTGAGAGCAGATTAGCTGGGAAGGGAAAGCGGGAGGCCGAGGAGGGGGAGAGGGATGGGGTGGAGGAGAGAGAGGAGGAGGAGGAGGAAGGAGGAGGAGCTAAAGGTGGCAAAAAGGGAGGAGAGGTGCGAGAAGAGGAAGAAGGACGAGGGCGGGAGGATGTAAGAGAGGGGGGAAGGGGCGAGGGAAGGGAGGAGGAAAGGGAGGAGGAAAGGGAGGAGGGAACGGAGGAGAGAACGGAGGAGGGGAGGGAGGAGGAAAGGGAGGAGGGTAGAAAGGAGGGAAGGGAGGAGGAAAGAAGGGAGAAAAGGGAGGGAGAGGGTGGTGGTCTTCATTATAAGACAGGTGGTGAGCGTGATAGTGGTGGCGATGGTGGTGGTGATGGGGGAGGGGAGCGTGAGTGGGGAATGAGAGGAGGCGAGGGTGGAGGAGGAGGGGAAGGTATGGGAGAAAGAGGAGAAGGAATGGGAGAAGGAGGAGGAGGGGATATTGATGATAGAGGAATGGGGAGAGATGCTGGGGACGATGAGAGGCAGCAAGGGGAGGCTGGGGAATCAGGAATTGGAGAGGCAAAGGGAGAGCACGAGAGCAAAACTCCAGATGGTTTTTCCTCCTATGCTGCTGCACACGGTGACACCACCCACGGCCAGAGGGAAGGCGACCCTTCCTTCAGCCGCGCACAGGGGCAGCAAGGCAGTGAGTTTGGCAGCAGCAGTGGCGTTGGGAGGGAGACGGAGTTTAGCAGAGAACAGGGGCAGCAAGGCACCGACTTCAGCAGCAGCAGCAACAGCAAGATGAGGGAGAATGAGTCAGGCGGATCACATTGGGAGCAACGCAGTGAGCCTGGCACAGCACAGGGGGGGTTGGCAAGGCCGGAGATGGGCAGCAGCAGCGACGTGAGTGTCCCAGACGACCATTCCCTCGGCCTGGGGCTGGGCTTTGGGCAGGCAGTAGCAGGGGAATATGCGGACTGGGACGTACCTCTGCCCCAGCCCGTGCTACAGACACGGGCTCAGGCTGTAGCAGAGGGATTCAGAGAGGCTGCAGGAAGATTCGTGCCGATGCTGCCTGTGGAACAGGTGAGATGCTGTGCAGGTGGGATGTGGGGGAGGTAGACACGGACTGGGACATGCCCCTGCCCCAGCCTGTGCTGCAGACGCGGGCGTCAGAGAGGCCGCAGGGCGATTCGTGCCGCTGCTGCCTGTCGAACAGGTGAGATGCAGTGCAGGTAGATGTGGGGCGGGTGAGGGTTGGGGTGGGTTGTTGACTAGGTGTTTTGAACAGACGTGGTTGTATGTTCTTTTACGCACGGTCCACTCGTCACAGATTCGTGTTCAATTCAACCAACTACCATGTAATGTAACCCTCTCTCTTGTACCAGGTGAAGCGGGTGGAGGAAGCTGCCAAGAAGTTTGCCAAAGATGGAACCATCATCTTTGCAGCAGCATCGTATGGTGAGTCACGCCCCCCTTGTCATTCGCCCCCCTGCCTGCCTTGTCATTCGCCCCCACCCTTTCATCTGCTCTCATTGTAATCCGCTTGCCTGTGACTCTTTCCAGATGTCCCTAAGGAATTGCATACCTCCATGCCCCCCCCCTCCCTCCCCCTCCCAACCCCCTGTCCAGTGTACCTGCCTCTCTTCCGCAACTGGGTCACCGCTCTCAACCGCATTGGCCTGTCTAACCACTTCCTGCTCTTCGCCCTCGATCAGGTGAGATGTGGGGGAGGTGGGAATGGGTGGAGGTGTGATGGGGGAGATGGGAGCGCGGGAGGTGGGATTGGGGAGAAGGTGTGATTTGTGGGGACGTGGGATGGGGAGGCGATGTGACTGGGGAGAGGTGGAATGCCTGGCCATGCCGTGTGGCTCAAACAGCCAGACCTCAGCACACATCACCTCAAAATGACCCCCTTCCTTTTCATGTATGTGGCACTGGAGGATGCTTATCCAGGCCACGCCATGTGGTTGCTGCCCAGAACTAAACCAGCAATATCACCTCAAATCCTTTCCCCCCTCCTCAACTCTGTTCGCTACTCCTTTCCTCACCAGGCAATGTACGTGGCAGTGGAGGACGCCTATCCAGGCCACGCCATGTGGCTTGAAGTGGCAAATCTGACCCAGCATCTTACACCGCGCCCCACTGCTTTCCACCACCTCGGCTCCCCGGAGTTCCTCCTCCTGGCCGCCCGCCGCCCCTTCTTCGTGCGAGCGCTGCTCAAGGCTGGAGTGAACGCCCTTTACAGGTAACAAGTGCCTTTCCAGTGAACAAGATTCTTTACACCCATTCCTTTTTCCATTCCCCATTCCTTTTTCCATTCCCAGAAGGCTTGTCCCATCCTTTCTCTCATCTCCTTCCATTCTCATCTCCTCTTCCCTGTCCCCTCTCTCCATTCTTCCTCCGCCCTCCAACCTTAAAATCAGAACCCATTCGTTCCCCTGTGCTCCCTCTCTGTTCCCCACATCTCAATGCAGTGACCTTGACACAGTGTGGCTCAAGAATCCCCTCCCCTCCTTCCCCCCCTGCCCTCGACATTACCTTTCAAGACGACTCCCACCTCTTCTCCCCTGGAGAGTGTTTTGAGTCGACTCAAACCATTCTCCTCTCTCTCTCTCCTCCCTCCCTGTTCCCTATCTCTCAATGCAGTGACCTCGACACAGTGTGGCTCAAGAACCCTCTCGCCTCCTTCCCCCCTGCCCTCGACATTACCTTTCAAGACGACTCCCACCTCTTCTCCCCCGGAGAACCCTCCCCTCTCCCACTCCCCTCCTCCTCCCCCTCCTCCTCTCCTTCCAATTCCTCCCTTGCCATCCCTCTCCCTTGGTCGCAAATCGCTCGAGCATCCCCGTGCCTGGCCCTGTTCCGCCGGACCAAGGCCACCGAAGCTGTGGTGGAGGATTGGGCGCGGAGAATGGCAACAGTAGACTACACCTACGCCGTGCCTAGCAGCGACGTGCCCTTGTTACAAAAGGCCCTATTTCAAATGGCTAAGGATGGAAAACCTCTCAAAGTGGGTATTTTACCTCAAGAATCCTTCCCTCCTGGGTGGCTTGCCTTCAGCCCTCTGAGTTCCTCCTCCACTTCAGCTTCATCCTCGTTAGAAGCCTCTCAGTTACCAGGATTAGGATCTGAGTCGCTTGTGAAGGACCAGCTGCCGTCATCGCTGTCGTTTGGTGGAGCGGTAGAGAGGGCGGTAGGGGGGAGGGTGTGGTTGCAGGAGCACCAGGAGGAGGTGGTGGTTGTGCATTGCAATGCTGCCCGCCTGCTGCCGTTCAAGATAGATGCGATGAAAGGTGCTGGCGTGTGGTTCTCTGATGCTGCAGAGTGAAGGTGTTGTTACTTGACAAACTAGTGGTGCTGGGATGTGGTGGGGTGGTGGTGGTGGCTGGTGCATTGCTCAGAATGCATTATGGGCTGCTGCCAATAAAATAATGATTGTGTAAGTGAATGAGTCTCTGACATGGTTGCTTCCCTTGGAGAGGATGTTGTTTTGAGTGTTTGAAATCTTATAGGTTCTAAAGGAACAACATACTGTAGATTTTACTCTTTCATTGCTCTTGTTTCGTTTGTATCATGAAGTTGATATACATTCAGCTGGAGGATTCGTTGCTGCGGCGTTGTTAATATCGAAGCGAGGGCATCTCCCTGCCTTCACCACCCACCAACCACTGAAAAGCAGTGACAGTTTCTCAGATCTGCCCCGCAAAAAATCACCCAATGTCACAAAACCGAGCAGAAACGTACAAAACCTTTTAAACATTACTGTGTCGCAACTTCAGTGAAACTGAGTGACGTGATCAGCGAGACTGTGTCACAAGTTCCGTAACTCCGTTCCGTCAGTCACAGCACCTACATCGTGTTCTTTTTACCTACATAAAGGCGTCACAGCCTGTTCTCCAGACCGTTACTCCTTACAGTAGAGGTGCATTGCCGTCTGATCTGCGTCCCTTCACCGGCAGGATGCAGATTTCACGGGTATTAGTGGTTAGTCTAGCCGTTCTAGGAGTAGGTCTGTGCTGCTTAGCTAATGGAGAGTCGTTACCCGAAGCCGGCACAAGCTCTTTCGGTGTAAGCTCCAGCCGGCGTCAATCATCCTTTACTTACTTTGTTTTCTTCTCAACGCACCATCTTTATAAATCCCGGTAGGCGGGATGCAGATTAACGGCATGATCCATGAGGATTAGCCGAAACAGTGATATATTTTGTTCCACTGCAGCATTTCGTACGTGATATTTAAGGCTATGCTGTTTAATACTTCTTAAGTTCCTTTTCTCTACCGGTCATCCTGTTTTCTCACAGATGCGAGAGTTGCTGCAAGATGACACCAAGACCTTACGAGAGGGCAAGGTAGCTATTCCCTTTCCGTCCAGCAAGCATTAGGAAGTCATAATGTTGATGCTTTTAGGTCTATCTTTACGATGTCAGTCCAGGGTTCCAACTGAGACTTTTAGAATGGTGCGGGCACGGTGTCGCAGAAATTCGAAGTCAATGGCAGACGTAGCCTGTAGCACTTCTGAGGCACCTCGAAATAAAATGATTGATCAGAATTCGAGGTTAGCAATGGGGGGAAATGGCAGGCGGATCCTGCACCACCGTAAGTATAACCGCCGAGAGTAGGTGATCTGTAATGTTCTGACACTACGTATCGTACGCTGCGTCACTTGCAGTTGCCATCACATTGATTCGCGCGAGTCTTAGGAATTAACTTCGGAAGTAAATGTAAAGTCTGATGAATTACCGCATTTGTCTTTTCAAGTTTTATAATCATAACGGGTTCTCTTCTATCGCGTTCACGGTGAGCAGCTCCTGGCGGAGACTCTCGCGGGTGCAGCCGGAGAAGCGACCCAGGCAGCAGCCGCTGGCACTAAGGGGAACAACAACGGGTGGGGTGGAGGGGCGGAGAGCGGTTCAGAGGGGTGGAAGGATGCGCTGTGGTCGCCAGCGAAGCTTCTGGACGCGTTCGTGACGAGCCTGTCAATGATTCTCGTGAGCGAGGTGAGTCGCACTGGCTACACGTCAATATCAAGGGGATAGCACGGCACGATACGTTGCCGTTTGGTCTCCCGCCAAGCTGTTGGACTGGATGCATTTGTGACGAGCCTGTCCATGATTCTCGTGAGCGAGGTGAGCTGCATTTCTGAGGCGGCCGAGGGATGAATAGAAGAGGAATGAAACGAAGGGATTGGAGGATGGCACAAGGAAGGATGCGATGCTCTATGGTCCCCTTCACCCTACAGATTCTGATCCTCCTTCACCCTACAGATTCTTATCCTCCTTCACCCTACAGATTCTGATCCTCCTTCACCCGACCGATTTCATATTTGAAAGAACGTTTATCCTGGCAGCCCTGATGGCCATCCGCCACCATCCCCCCACCTAGCCCAGCATTCAGCTAGGTACCAGTTATCATGTCGTCGCGTTGTTCGATTCTCTACCTCCCCCGCTCTTCCTTCGCTTCATCAACTCCTGTGCGTCACAGATCGGATACAAGACGTTCATGATCGCTGCACTCATGGCCATGCGCCATCCACGCAGCATCGTGCAAAACACCTACCAATTACCATGCTATGCCATCATGTCATTTCATTCGCTGCTCCTTCTCTCCCTCCCCCACCCTTCTTCACTCACTTGATTGTCTCGTGTGCGGTACAGATTGGAGACGAGACGTTCATCATCGCTGCTCTCATGGCCATGCGCCATCCACGCAGCATCGTGCAAAATACCTACCAATTACCATGCCATGCCATCATGTCATTTCATTCGCTGCTCCTTCTCTCCCTCCCCCACCCTTCTTCACTCACTTGATTGTCTCGTGTGCGGTACAGATTGGAGACGAGACGTTCATCATCGCTGCTCTCATGGCCATGCGCCATCCGCGCAGCATCGTGCTGGCTGGAGCGCTCTCTGCCCTCGGGATCATGACGGTGAGTTGCTCGTAGATGGTATAGGGGTAGTGTCGTCGTTACTGAGACAACACCACAGGGCATCAGCCCCTTCATCTCTCCTGCTTGTTGCCAGATTACTCTTTGTTACACCCCTGCACACAGGTCTGATGCACGGGTCCGCTCCAGGTGGCAAATTTGTTTCAAGACGTTCAAGACGTTCAAGCCGTTCAAGAAGTTCAAGACGTTCAAGCAATTATAGTTTTGAGACGTCTCAAAACTAGACGTTCAAGCAATCATACTAGTCTCTCGTCGTTAACCCCGCCGCACACAGGTTTCCTGCATGGGTCCGGGTCTCGTAGTACCCAACCTCCCCATTCTTTCATGCAAAGCCTCTCCATCTCTCCCCCCATACTGCTTGCTTGCCCCTCTTGCCCGCCCCTCCTTGCTCCTTGTTCCTGCTGCCCGGCCCCCGTGCACAGGTGCTATCCACGGGACTGGGCCTCATTGTGCCCAACCTCATCTCCAGAAAGGCCACCAACAGCGCTGCCACGGGTGAGTGGGTGAGGGTCTTGCGAAGTGACTGTTGAGTCTACTCATAAGTGTCTCATCAACGGGTCTGTTCCTCCTCTGCCAAGGTTGAGTGAGTGAGGCTCTTGTGAGCTGACTGCTGGGTCAAGTCAGAAGCCGCCTATCCGTCCGTCTGCGGGTCTGGGTCTCATAGTTTCCAACCTCATCTCCGTTGGAGTTGCTTTTGAGAATTCTCAGAAGCTACTTCACAGGTCTGGGCCTCCTAGTGTACAGTTTTATCCCCGAAAAGGCAACCAACAGCGCGACCACTGTGACCAGAGTTGCCCCTGAGAAGAGTGAGATTGGCACTTTGGGAACAGGGACATAAAATTATGCTGCCGATATCTTGTCAGTTGAGAACAGCATAATGATGCACCGTTTGCCTCACGTTCTCTGCGTGTCAATGTCCCTATCACTCACTCCCATCACCTCCTCCCCACCGCCACCATCCTTACTACTGCTCGCAGTGCTGTACGTCTTTTTTGGCCTGCGTCTGCAGTACATCGCATGGCTGAGAGTGCTGAATCCATTGACTCCACAAGCAAGGAATACATGAGACCATTGACTCCACTCGCTCTGTGCCTTGCCACCCCGTCCGCCGCGTTACCCCCCTGCAGTGCTGTACACCTTTTTTGGCCTGCGTCTGCTGTACATCGCGTGGAGGGCAGACCCCAAGGAATCTGCTGCTAAGGAGATGGAGGAGGTGGGTGTATTCGCTGATGTCACTCGAGGTGCGTCCATTGATGTCATATGCTTGCTCAACACTTTCATACAAAGGTCGTACAAAGCGGACTCAAAAGTCGCCTGCTGTATACCTTCTTCGGCCTGCGCCTGCTGTACATCGCGTGGAGGGCCGACCTCAAGGAGTCTGTTGCCAAGGAGATGGAGGAGGTGAGCGCGTCTGTTGATGTTTCGGGCTTGCAAAACACTTCAATATCAAGGTATATTTTTTAGAATAATGTCACAGTTTCAGGGAATTTGTGCTTGCTGAATGGCAGCGTTTGTGTTCCATTCCATCTGAGAGTTAAGAGACAATTCTCAACATTGTGAAATCCTTCCCCCCTTCCTCCTCTCTGCATGGCTGGAACAGGTGGAGGAGAAGCTAGAGAGCGAGGAGAACGACAAGGGCAGGCACAGAGGCATTCGCAAGTTCTTTGCTGGCTTCTGCACGCCTGTATTCCTTGAGGTGAGTAGGCCCTTCATCATCGTAATGCCATCCTCTTGTGTGCCATCCCCCTGGGTGCCATCCTCCCAATACTCCTGCAACAGGCGTATTTGTGATCTCTTGGTGACATTGTCCCTTCCTTATTGCTCCTTCCACTCTACACCTGTGCACCTGTACTCTTCGGTGTACCAGTGCCAAACCTTCCATGCAATAGCATTGCTCTTTACCTGTCATCGCTGTTCCCGGCTCATGCCATCGTTCTTACGTTCAACCATTCCATCCATCCTCCTTACCTCTCCACGTCGTCTGCCTACCCTCACCTCCTCCTCTCAGGCCTTCATCCTCACCTTTCTCGCCGAGTGGGGCGATCGCAGCCAGATTGCAACCATTGCTGTAAGTCCCAGGGAGGGAGGAGGAGGGGGGGTGCTTTGCGTCCCTTACAGGGGGGGTGCTTTGCGTCCCTTAGAGGGGGAAAGCTTGCTGTCAGGGGTGCTGACGATGGTTGTTGAGGTGTTCCGACAAAGCAATTGCAGCTGTTGCTGTGAGTTCAATGGAAGCAGGTGGGGTGGTGTTGGGAGGGGTTTACTGTGTAGGGTGCCTGGAGCAGAGAGACGGGAACAGGGGAATTGAACAGGGCATAATCGGCTATAAAGAGAAGGTAGGCTCTTGTGGATTTGGAGTGGCATGAGACTACAGTACAGGAGGAGTGCTGTGTTTGGGAAAGGTTTCGTCATCCCCCTCTTTCCCCCCCTCCCACACAAGCAGCTGGCAGCACACAAGAACGCCTTGGGAGTGACAGTGGGGGCGACCCTGGGCCATGTGGTGTGCACCACCATTGCAGTGGTGGGTGGCAGACTGCTTGCCCTGCGTATCTCGCAGCGCACTGTAGCTATGATGGGAGGAGCTCTGTTCCTCATATTCGCTGTTCACTCGTACTACTCTCCTATAGAGTAACTGAGGTGATTTTGGGCAATCATTCTGACTGGCAAAAACTCTTGATAGTGTAGGTGTTTGCAGCAGCTCATGTGTCCTTTTCTATAAGCAAGATGTGATATGGCCAATTGATTTATGTAATCGCATCTCTCCTCCACGCATGTTCAGCACCATTTTTTGTGTTGTCCAGGGCAGACACCTCTCTCCCTGCTAAGACTGAAAAGGCACAGCATACTTGTGTCTATGTATATATTGCAGAATAGTAATGACTGTAAGTGTATACCGTTTCATTCAACATCTCCCAACCTTGACCAAGGACTAACTCTGAATAATCACAGGGCTAACCTTGACCAAGCGGTCCTCCCAGCTCACCACTCCCATTGTCCAAGGACCACCAGCTCATGATTCTGTGCTGGACAAAGTTTCGCTTCTCTGGTTGGCTGATGTTTTTTCCCTCGATTTTGCTGAACACGCTCACCACGTGGTCCCGCCCGATTGATCACTCTTGAGATCGCTCATTGCAGCGAACTGGGATGCGGCTGTGTAGGGTAGGGTGCGATGACATCAGCGGGGCTCTAGTACGGTGGCGAGCCGAACTTTGCGGCTCCTTTTGATTCTGAGATTGCCATATGCGCCCAAGGAAGGCTCGGTATTTTTTTATCATCCTGATCAGAGTGGTTGTTTGTGGCTATCTCGAGTGCCGACAGCACAGCTCGCTTTTTGACACACTTTTCTTCGGGCAAGTTTCTGTTCTCTCCGCCGCGCGTTTCGTTTGGAAAGCTGTGCTCTCCGCTCGGCTGACCGTGCCGAGTGCAGATGTCGCTGCGCTTTCGCCTCACCGCGCGCGGCTTACGTTAAGCTTAGAGTCTGCTTTGTCTCTTTCCGTCTGATTTTGCATCGTCTGCATGGACGTGCATCTTCCGCCGCTCGTTCCTTCGGAACGGCTAGCCGGCTCGCAGCCGATAGTCGAAGCCGTCCATGCATCCTCGATCCGCAACCCGAAAGGGTTTATCAGGCTTTCCCTAGAACTTGCGGATGTCAGGGCTAGGGTAAACGGCTGTTCTTGGGATCTAAATAAATATCGTCGCAAGTCTTCGACCGGGAAAGGTACCCCCCGTCACACGCGACGGCGTGTTGTGACATTCGCGTTACAGCACTCTTCGTTAGCAGCAAGCGCAGCGAGCTCAGAACACGAGTCAGCCGAGCAAACCGATCCGGGGTTGCTATGGGATTTCTCCTTTGATTCTGACGAGGACGACGGGCCTCTGCCAGAAGCCCCGTCGCGCTGCCTGCTGCACGCCTTCTCGTGGTCGTCGCATGAATCGGGAGGAGGAGGGATCAACGGCAGGTGGTATGACGTTCTGGCGGAACGAGTGGGTGATTTCAAGGCGATGGGTTTCTCGGATCTCGTTTTCCCGCCCTGTTGCAAGGCTGCTGATGGACCAGGTGAGTTTCCATGTCAGCTGACTCGTCATGTCAGGTGATTCTTCATGTCAGGTGAATAGATATGGCAGGTACATTGGTCAATCGCATTCAAGACTTAGCTCCATATACCCAACCCAACCACGAAGTGTAACCTGTTTTCTCTGTCTTACGCAGGTTTCTCTCCAGTGGACTTTTACGACCTCAATAGCGCGTACGGAACAGAGGCCAGCCTGCGGAAGCTGCTGGCGCAGCTGCACGCAGCAGGGCTGGGCGCGTGCCTGCACGTGGTGGTGAACCGGATGGGCGGATGGGGGGATACGAGCGGATCGGAGCAGCAGCAACAGCAACAGCAGCAGATGGGTGGGGTGCCAGGGGGAGTAGGACCCGGCGAGCCAGGGCTGTCAGAGTGGAACCGACTCACCAACACGGTGGACGAGGTGAGTGGTTCCCTTAGTCGTTGTAACATTCAGTTTTTTTAGTCGACTCAGAAGGAGGTGGGCCGCCGGGGGGAGTGGGTCCCGGCGAGCCAGGGCTGCCTGCCGGAGTGGAACGGACTCACCAACACAGTGGACGAGGTGAGTGTGTCCCATTGTCGTTGTAACTTACTTGTAAGATTCAAACGCACTCTCTGCTTCGTCCCCTTGCCCAGCCTTTCAAAACTCGTGCCCCCTTCCCTTGCAATCCAAGTGGAAGTTTGGCGGCATATTTGGGAGTTCCCTCCTTCCCACTTGGATGGATTTACATTGCAGCATCTGAGCATTCCATATTCCCTCCTTCCACTCACTTCTTCCTTCCCTTCCAGTCATCCACCCCACCCTGTCCTTTCCGTCCATCCTGCCAGCAGTGTGCGGCAGGGGGAGCAGGTTGACATGCACGCATCTCCGGGAGGGGTTGGGGGGGGGGGGGGGGAGGGGGGTAGCAACAGAGACCATGGGAATCCCGTACTCAACAGGAGGACGTTTGAGTCCACGCTCAACGATCTCCCTTTCCTTTTTCCCCGCGTCCAGCCAGCCTGCAGTGGGGCGGCAGGGCGATGAGGCTGACCTGCATGCTTCAAGGGGGGAAGAAATAGTAGCAGACCATACTCCAGTCCACAGTGCAGCATTCATTACTGGATTCTCAACATGAACCCCCCCGTGTGCAGCCTGCAGTGGGGCGGCAGGGCGAGCAGGAGGGCATTGGTGCGCAAGCAGCGGGGGGAAGGAGCAGCGTGATGGACCATGGGAACCCGGCAGTGGAGGAAGACTTGTGAGATCAGAAAGCAATTATCTCCCCTACCCCCTCTCTTACCCTTTTCCCCGTGTTCAGCCTGCAGTGTGGCGGCAGGGAGAGCAGGAGGGCATTGACGTGCAGGCATCAGCGGGAGCGAGGAGCAGTGTGATGGACCATGGGAACCCGGCAGTGGAGGAGGACTGTAAGGGGTGGCTGCGATGGCTGCGATACGACGTTGGCTTCGATGTGAGTGGGAGCAGCAGCGAGTCTGCCAAAGCACATTTCCTTTCTGACGCGGCTGATTGTGCACATCGTGTCCCTCTTTTTTCTCCTTTATTATCACATTGATGTGTTCCCCATGCCCCCCCTACTGTGGTTTTTTTTTTTTTTTTTTTTTGCTTCCCCTGCCATGGCCCCCCTACTGGGTTTCCGACTTTCCACTTCGTTTTGCTGCCCCTGCCGTGGCCCCTCTACTGTGTTTCCTCAAACCGCTCCCCTTCTCTCCCCTGCAGGCGTGGTGTTTCGACCTCGCACGTGCCTTTGATCCTGCAGTAGCCCACTCGTGAGTCACTCACTCCTCCCGTAATGAACCATTACCCCAGCATGACCAATACCGAATCAAACCTCTGCGCCCCCAGCGTTGCCCCAACCTTATCAGTTTTCCAGCAATATCTTTCGCTGTCTGTGCCTCATAGACTGCCTGTGTCTGCGCCAATCCCCCCGCCCGTAGGCACTCGGTGCAGGTACTGCTGGGATACGAGCCCCACGTTTGCTGTCGCTGATGTGTGGATGGAGATGCGGTATCAGGGAAGCACTCTCGAATATGATCAAGGTGAGCAGGCTTTTACTGTGAAACTGGTTACCACCAACTGTACCTCCAGCCAGTGAGCAGGTGTTTTCTAGCTTCAAATTGTAGCTCATGTGTGGATGGAGATGCGGTATCAGGGAAGCACTCTCGACTACGACCAGGGTGAGCAAGGAACGGAGAATAGGGTGTTTTTATGGACATACATGTATACATGCTTATACACATGTGTGTGTATGTATATATATATACATATATGTGTGTGTGTGTGTGTGTGTGTGTGTGTGTGTGTGTGTGTGTGTGTGTGTGTGTGTGTGTGTCTATGTACATATAAACCTGATCAACTGATTGTTTTCGTCGTCAGTGTACATCCGCATCATTGTCTGTCTGCATCTGTGCCATCTGATTGTAGTCAGTTGATTGCTGCATCGTCAGTCTCCATCCATGCCTTCTACTCCTGTACATGCTACTTGTCGGTCATCTGCAGGCGCCCATCGAGCACTAGTTCTGAGACGTCTCAAAACTGCATTGTCAGTCTCCATCCATGCCTTCTTCTCCTGTACACGCCACCCTTCTGTATATGCCACTTGTCGGTCCTCTGCAGACGCCCATCGAGCACTCCTTGCTGACTGGGTGAAGGCAGCGCGGGGAACGCCTCACATGATCGACTACACTACAAAGGTATATATATTGCATGGTAAAACAAGAGTCAATTGCATCTAATTGAAGTTAATGGAGCGCAAGGAGCATCTGTCATCGTAGGCTACACAAATAGAGAGTACAATGCGCAACATGTTAGGAGATGAAACCGCTAACGTTCATTTGCACTGCGAGCAAGCACTGGCGTCTCTTTGACCCCCATTGACCCTGATTGAACCCTACTGACCATCGTTCAACCCCTCCTCACATCACCCTTTCCCACCCACTCATGTCTCTGTCTCCCAGGGTATACTGCAGGCTGCAGTGCAGAACTGCGAGTACTGGCGCCTCATAGACCCCCAGGGCAGGACCTGCATTGTCCGTAATTCAACCCCTCCTAACCCCTCCCCGCCCCTCCATGCCTCTGCCTCCCAGGGCATACTGCAGGCAGCGGTGCAGAACTGCGAGTACTGGCGCCTCATTGACCCCGCTTGACCCCCATTGACCCTCACTGACCGTCATTGACCCTCATTCACCAACCCCTGTTTCCCAGGGCATACTGCAGGCAGCGGTGCAGAATTGCGAGTACTGGCGCCTCATAGACCCCCAGGGCAGGCCTCCCGGTCTCATCGGCTTGCTGCCTGGAAAGGTGGGCATCCCATCACCTCCTCCTGCCTCATATCCTCTCCTGTCGTTTGCATAGCCCAATGGTAAAGGCTTCCAGTAGCATAAGCATAGTGTCTTGTAGCCTCCTCGAGAGTCTGTACCTTCATTTGAGCCTTGCAGGTATTCCTAGCTGTCAGGTCTCTCATGGTGCTTTCAGGGTTGCCCCCTGGGCAAGCCTACTGCTGTCCCCATCCAGCCTTCTATCATCCAACTCTTAAAATAAACCCTCGCACCCCTTCCCCCCCAACCGAACCACCCCTCCCCTTCCCCTTCTTCCCCCCCTCCCCTTCCCCTTCTTCCCCCCCTTCGCCAGGCAGTCACATTCGTGGACAACCACTCCACGGGCTCCACACAGCAGCACTGGCCGTTCCCTGCCTGGGGGGTCACTCTGGGGTGAGAGGGAAGGGAACCTGGGAAGGGCGGGGGCTAGGCTGGGATAGGTATAGTGAGGCTGAGATGAGGGAAGGTAGGCTGGGGAATGAAGACAATCACTCCACAGGCTCCACACAGCAGCACTGGCCATTCCCTGCCTGGGGGGTCACTCTGGGGTGAGAGGGAAGGGAATCTGGGAAGGGCGGGGGCTAGGCTGGGATAGGTATAGTGAGGCTGAGATGAGGGAAGGTAGGCTGGGGAATGAAGACAATCACTCCACAGGCTCCACACAGCAGCACTGGCCATTCCCTGCCTGGGGGGTCACTCTCGGGTGAGACGCAAGAGAGGGCTTTGGCAATCTGGGATTGGGGGCTGGGGAGGTAGGGAGGCTGGGGTGGGGGGGATAGACTGGGACATGAAGCCAGCCAATCAGTCCTCAGACTCCATGCAGCAGCGTTGGCCGTTTCCCGCGTGGGGCGGAATGGGGCTGGATGAAGGTGGTTGGCATTGGGTGGAATAGGGTGGGATACAGTGGGATGGGCTGTGGTATGGTATGGTGGCGAGGGAGGTCGTCAGGATTTTCTTGTTTCCGAATCTGTGTGGGGTACTTGCTGCTGCTTCTGCCACGTGTTTCCAAATCGGTGATCTCGTGTCGTCTCACTACGCTCCCAGTGAAGGAGGTTTGCGTTCTCCCACGCCTGTGTGAGTTTTCTCAGAGATGATCTGGCTCATTCGTTGCATTCCGCACATCCCACCCTTCCCTCGCCCCACCACAATTCCTGCACCCCCTCCCTCACCCTTCCTGCACTCAAACCCATCACTGGTCCGATGTGCAGCTACGTGTACATTCTGACCCACCCGGGTGTGCCATGTGTGTTCATCGACCATCTCTACGAGTGGAACCTCAAGGTCAGTGCTTTCTTCAGCTTCCTCAGCTGAACCATCCACTACTTGGGATGCCCCATCCACAATTCATTTCTGCCTTGCAAACTAACTCGACGAGAAAAGAAAGAAAGAGAGAGAAAAAAAGTCTATGTTTTATTTCCATAATCTTTTGTCGCCCATCCACAATTCCATCATTGCAGGACCCAATTCAGAAGCTGCTGGCGATCCGGCATCGCAACAGCATCACATCAAGCAGTGCGATTCGCATCATGGCGTGCAGCACGCAACTCTATGTGGCGCGCATTGGCACCAACGTGAATGATGACAGGCTGTTCCGCGGAGTCGTTGTGAAGCTTGGTCCGTCGTTCGACATGCGCGGGACTGCACCAGGTACTGTGGAACAGCGTGTGTCACTGTGGATCGCTGTGGTTAGCTGTAAATTGTGGTGATTTAGCGTTTATCTTGTGATGAACCCTAGCTTTATCACAGAAGATGGTGCTTCTATGAAAATTTTACGAATTAGTCCGATTTTTAACATGACTAGTGAGGGCTGAGAAAATGCACTCTTCCCCCCTCCCCCTCCCCTCCCCCCTCCCCCCTCCCCCCTCTCCTCCTACCTATTTTTGCAGATTCGTCTTGGCAGATAGCCATGTCAGGTCATGACTTCTGCATATGGGAAAAGAACAGTGAAGTGCAGTGACTAGACAAGATGTAACAAGTGGGACATGCCTTTAGTTTGTGATGCTGTATGATGTTTGGTGTGGTGGACATTTTTTTTCCACACTGCCTTCTGTTGGACATACAGAGAAACCAGCATACGCATTTCCTTATGCTGTACTCTGTAGATGGCAAAATTGCGAGACGCGCCGGCGCGCGAACTTTCTTCAATCTCATCGACTGAGCTCGCACCGCAGGTAGGGTGACCGAACCTCGTCCAAATGGATCTACCTACATGCGCTTCCACGTTATTTTCATGCTGCGGACGAGTTCATGTCGACGTTATAGGTGCCATTTGGTTTTACGGCCAGAATTGCGGGATTACGGCTTGGGGTTTTGATCCTTTCATCAAAATGTAAAATTTTAAAAGTGTGTAACACTTTTCAAAATTGTGTATTGTGAAAGTGTAGCGATTGCCAACGCAGCAAAGGCAGCGTCGCATCGCTACTCGCCCTCTTTTGGCTACAAAAGAGGGGGTTGAGGCCATTCGGCCTCACCCACGTTCTTCTTTTCAATTTCGAAGTTTGAGTTTTTCAATCTCGTCCAGTCTGGCGAAGACGCAGTCCCTCCCTCGCTTCACCGCCCCGACGACTCTACTTGCGGATATTTTTAAGTACAACATCGGAGCCATGGCGCCGGCGAACAACACTGCTAATCGCGAGGGCAACAAGGCGACAGACACTCCCGTTGCCGCGAACGCCAACATTCTGCCCGGGACAACCACCCGTCGCCCGAAACGGGCTGCCGAGGAGTCACGCGAGGACCTCGCCACTGGCGTCGAGGTCCTGCTGGGCGGAGGCTCCCCGGCGCCTTCCGAGGAGCCTTCCGCCCCTCGCGCGGCTTCCAGGCAGCCGCGCGAAGTGGCGAAAAGGACAACCGCTGACGCGGCTGTCTTGACCACCACCTCGAGCCCCTCAGGCGCGCGTGTCAAGCAGCACGCGCCAGCACCCTCGAGCCACACGCCAGCCACGACCGAGCCCAACCCCCCGTTCAACCCGGCGCAACTCCAAGCACTACTGGCGCTGTTACAGCAGCACGCGCCTGTTACGGCGGGGACTTCAAAAAATGAGGACGCTACAACTTCTGCAAAATATGATAAGAAGAAAGAAGAAGCTCCCGCCGTCGCACCGCGCCCTCCCAAGACTGCCCGCATCGAGAAGGACCCGGCCCCCGCTCCCGTCGAAGATGACAGCGACGAGTCAGACGACGCTGATGGTGAGGCCTCCCCTCGCCGTCACAACCCAATTTTCACTCATGCTTCTTGCTCTACGCTTCCCCCCCTCAACCCCGCAACCACAAACTCCGCAAAGGCGTACGTGACCAGGCAGAGGTTTTCTCTGCTATCCAGGCCCACCTCAGGCACATTGAGTTCAAGCTCCAGCAAGGCGACGCGGAAGGCGCTCGCACCAACATTTCTCAAATCGAGTCGCTCATTAACAAGCGATTTGAGGTGCTCTTGGTGGCGGACGAGGCGGGCTTCGAGGCGGCCGATCGCTTCCAGGTCTACCAGTCCAAGAGTGTGCTGACCTCCCGTTCGTACAAGCTGGCCGTGGCCGACGTGGCCGCGTCGAAGCGCGCTCGTATGACCTACAACCGTCCCACCCGCGGGGGTGGCCTCAACGCCGGCGAACTCGGCAACAAAGGCTCCGGGCAAGGCTCTTGCCAGGAAAGGACCTTCAAGGGCACCTGTTTTCGCTGCGGCCAGCCAGGCCACATGGCGAACGCCTGCCCCATGGGGGGGCGTGGAGTCCAAGGTCCCACACCCGTGGTGTGAGGGACCAAAGGGCGGAGCCCTTGCCCCTTATGTCAAGGGACATAACGGGGCTGCACCAGGGGGTGCAAGGCTGAGGAGCAGCCTAAGGAACTAAGGGCCAGGGGGCCCAAGGAGGAGCCCTAGGGGCCATTAGCTATTGGTGCATTGTGTACTTTTGCAAGAAATGATTATTATGGGATGATAAGTTGCCTACGGAAGTGTTTGTTGTTTTTAGTCCAATTTGGTACCTTGGGCTCAAGGATGGGCTGCACTATGATGTGGGCAACCAGCAAACAACCAGTGCAAAGCAAAGAAGAAGAAGAAGAAGAAGAAGAAGAAGAAGAAGAAGAAGAAGAAGAAGAAGAAGAAGAAAAAAGGGTGAAAAAAAAAAAAAAAATCGAGCCAATGTTCATACACCTTAATACGAAATCAAAGGACGCGCGAGCCGCATCACGCATCAAGAGACCCATCAAGGTCCAGGAGGACCCAAGAAACAATATGGAGGGTTGTGCACTGTGTGGTTGTTAACACACACGTCTTAAAAACAAAGAGAGAGAGAGAGAGAGCGAGAAAGGGAAAGAGAGAGAGAGAAGAGGGCGAGAGAGCAAGAGAAAAAGCGTTGTCTCCCTCTCTTGTTTTTTCTCGGGCTCCACATTGCATAGAACATTTGGCTCATGAACCGCACCCCACTAGGTGCAAGCCGAGCCGTGCAATGCAAAAAAAAAAAAAAAAAAAAAAAAAAAAACTCAAGGTAGGAATCATGCAACCGCAACTCGCCCACGTGCGTGGATACGTGCGAGTGTCCACGGGGCAAGTCTTTCAAACCCACCACGAAGGCCAGACCATACGACGGTCGGTCTCGAGGCAGTTCACGGAGCACAAGGGCATGTCACGCCCATAAAGGTAGAGAGAGAGAGAGAGAGAGAGAGAGAGAGAGAGAGAGAGAGAGAGAGAGAGAGACACACACACACACACTCACATGCACACACATACGCACCCACATGCACACACACCCACACACCCGTACACACACACATACTCACACACGCACATACACACACACACACACACACACACACACAGGCACACACACACCAACACACATAACACAAGGCACACGCACATCTACACACGTGGTCGCACTCGTGCAAAGGCACGACGCCCAAGAGCGCGGTCCGCTGTTACTCAACTGCTCATGCACGCGCTAATGTTGTGGGATAGCCGATTGTGCATGAAAACCCCATGCAGAAATTGACAACCGTTGGATCGGGACGACGCTCTCAACATACGAATACGCGATAACCGACAAGACAGTGTTTATAATGCGAGGACGGCTCCACCAAGCACTACAATGGTGGCGCTCCTGGTGCGATAGTAGCCTCATCCTGTCTATTATCTCACACGGATATTGGTTCCCATGGAAGGATGGGCCCCCGACACCTTTCGAAAGGAAAAACCACTCAGGCGCCTAGACGCATTCGGATTTCACACACGATGCCATTCAGGACCTCCTGCGAACAGGAGCAGCGGCAAAAGCTCCTGACCGATCAACACTACTATGCATTAGCCCACTCAACGTGGTCGAACAACGAGAAAAATGTCGGCTCATCCTCGACTTGCGGAAGGTCAACGAGCACTTGTGCATTCCGAAATTCAAGTACGAAGGCCTCGCCCGGGTAGCGGAGTTGATCCAACCGAACGATTGGATGTTATCAGTTGATCTCAAGTCAGGGTATCATCACGTGGACATCCATCCCACCTGCTGGAAGTACTTAGGATTCCAGTTCGAAGGCAACTACTACTTCTTCCAATCCCTGCCATTCGGTCTGGCCACGGCCCCTTTCATCTTCACGCAACTCATCAAACAGCTGGCCCGACGATGGCGATCTCTCGGGTGGCGGGTTATCCCGTATGTGGATGATATACTGATCCTGGCAGAGACCGCACAACAAGCGGGAGCCGCATGCGCACAGATCGTCAGAGACCTGAGGGACGCCGGCATTGTAGTCAACGAGAAAAAGTCGCGTCTGGTCCCCACACAGGAGCTTCGCTTCCTCGGACTCGAATTGAACACACAAGTCGGCAAATTCTCGGTCGGAGAAGAACGGCGCTCCCTGTTACGAGCGACAATCACAAGTTTCATCGATTCCGGACACGCTGGTCACCACGTGAACGTTCGTCAAATCGCTCGAGTGACTGGAATGCTTGCTTCCATGAGCCTCGCATTGGGCGCAACCGCGCGAGCCTTCAGCCACGAGCTATTGCAACTTATCAACAACGCGCCCTCATGGCACTCGAAGGTGTCGTTGTCAACTGAGGCCATCCACGAACTGCACTTCTGGGTGGAACATTTCGACCGTTTCAACGGTGCACCATTCCATCATCCGCATCACTACGACGCCATCATCCAGGTGGATGCCAGCGCGCACAGCTGGGGTGCCACCCTCTCTACTTTTCACGGAACACCGAGCAACGCAAGCGCTGGCATGCCCGACAACCTGTGGCCAACCTCAAGTACACGATGCGAGTTGGAAGGCGTGCTCTGGGCGCTACGCACCTTCATGGACCGTCTTCGACACGGCCACACGTTGGTTCGCGTGGACAACCAAGGGGTCATGTTCATCCTACGAAAAGGCGGCTCGCGCAATAATGAGCTCACGCTCACTTGCAAAGAGATCATCACTCTATGCACGGACAACGCGGTGCGACTAGCCATCGAATGGATTCCCAGAGGTCAGAACACTTGCGCGGACGAGCTCTCAAAGCTGCAAGACCACGATGACTACACGTTGAAACAACCTTGGTTTCGTCTCTTGGACCGTCGGTGGGGGCCTCACTCCGTCGACCTGTTCGCAAATGCACAGAACGCATTGCTGCCTCGTTTCTTCTCTAAAGTCCCTCACCCGAGCCGAGGCCATCA